CTGGACCTTCTTCAGTTTCATGCTGAAAGTTGGCTTTCCTTCTTGCATTCTTTTTTGATTGCAATGTTGTTGATTTCCTCTTTTTTCGGGCACCTGTTTGATGCTTAGGATTCGGTGAATTTTTTCCTGGACTGAGACTGAATATCTTTCTGATATTTGGTTCTTTTTCCTTTTTAGATAATTCAATCTATTCTTGTTCCTCAAAGTTACATTCTTCATCTTCATGCTCATCATCTGTTTGTGGTTGCAATTGTTTGTATATGTTCTGTTCTTCAATTGTGTCTTTCAAATTGCTTTCCTACATGAATGAAAATTATTAAAAAGAATGATATTACGCAAAGTTAAGTAATAATTTATCATTCGGTGATTCAAATTTATAATAAGAGTAGTGATTTGGTTCATCATAACAAGTTTTATCAGTGAATTAGCAACATTAAGCAAAATTTATCACTCAATGAAGCTAACTAAGCAAATTTATAACTGTGAACAAAAAGTTATCAGTCCATATCAAAATTTATAGATGTATAGCAAAATTAATCACTCAATTAAAGAAATAAAGGTTACACACTGATAAAACTTGTTTCTGGAATAATTTCCTAGCACAGATGAAATGCCTAAATAATTTTCTACCACAAATGTGACACCATGAAGATTAAGAAGAATTTATCAGTCGAGCTAAAATTTATCACTGCATAACAAAATCTAATATTTGTTTAAACAAAACAAAGGATATCAATGGATACCTCAATATGTTTCAGATCATGCAAGGATGACTTTGCCAATTGTTCTCCCAGATGTGTAATGTTCCATTTTGCAAATCTTGGGATTGGGTTCTTGTCATTTGGTTTGATGATCTTTGCATGCTCACATATCCAATACTATTGAGGACAAAAAAAATGTTATAAATTAGTATTTAGTAAATGTAAATATTATAGTTTATAAGTTGTAAGTGAGGTATTTACTTACCAATAAGATGATCACACATCCGCACACTTTATCAATTTGGTTGATGTTGCGTGCTATTGATCTTGTAATATGTTTCGCTGTGCCACACCAATCATAAGACTTCATTTCGTCAATATTCTCAAGGTATTTCATAAACCCCAACCAATTGTTGTCCCAGTATCCGGATATAACAAAAGCAAACAAACTAGAAGGCACACAAGCCTAACGACATCTTCTACATCTTCATTGTTGTTGCTTCTCAAAAGTTTCGTTATCAACTTTTGGATTGAAACACTTGTCATTCTGCTCTCGGTTATTTTCCTTCTTTGCACGATAGCTACCTCATTTTTTCTTTCGTATGCAAGATTCATCTTCTTCTGTCCACATGCAATCCCAAAAATTAACTTGAAGTCATTTATTTTCAACTTCAGCTTCTTCCCAGCAATTTCAAATGTGGTTCCATCCATTTGGTAAGTTTACAAAATTTTTACAACCACATCATCATATTTAATTGAATCTCTTCTTTTAACCTTGTTTTCACTCAATGCATCAACCAGAAGTGAAAAAATGTGTCTTTCTCAATAGTGTCAAATGCTCCTCTCTGAGTTTTGTTGTCTTGAAAAATTTGATAAGAGATTAAATGTTAGAACGGTAGACATACTTTGCTTCATTATCATGTATTTGTTCAGTCCTAGTTTTTCTTCCATCAATTTTTTTCTTTCCTCTTGCTTTGTGGAGCTCTGTAGCTTGTTTCAGTTGTTCCTATTTGGGCTCCTCATTGTCAATGTTAGATTCAGGTTTAACTTCTAGTTGATTTTCACTTTCATGTGTTGTTGGTTCTATAACAAACTCAACTTTTCAATCTTTTTCTTCTTTGAGAAACTTGTTTCTCGACGATGTAATCTTTTACGATGACTGGGAACATCTGTACAAAATCATTGAGCATGAACATTGAAAATTAAAAAGAATTTTATCACTGAACTAGGCAAACTAAGAAGAATTTATCACTCTATTATGCAAATTAAGCAAATATATAACTGTATAGCAAAGTTTAGATTCCAAATTGCAAAAGAATATGAAGTATCATGATGAAGATCAAAACAACTGATAATGTATCACTCAATGAGGTAAAGTAAGTAAATTTTATGACTCGATTAGGCAAATTAAGCAAATCTATCATTGTTATAACAAATTTTATCATTGAATTAGACAAAGTAAGGAAATTCGTCATTTTATAGCAAATTTTATCACTCAATTAGACAAAGTAAGCAAATCTGTCATTGTATAATAAATTTTATCACTGAATTAGCAAAAGTAAGTAAATGCATCATTGTATTACAAATGAACATAAAGATATGATTATTATGAAGTTGAATATCACTTATAAATTAATAGTGTACGGTACATATTCAAAATAGCTTCAAGTCAAATTTTATCGCTCAATTATGGTTATAAAAGAAGAAAGGAGGCAAATCCATGGTTATAACAAATTTTATCACTCTATTAGGAAAATTAAGCAAATCTATCATTCTTATAGCAAATTTTCTCACTAATTTGGGCAAAGTAAGCAAATCTGGCATTGTATATCAAATTTTATCACTGGATTAGCAAAAGTAAGCAAATCCATCATTGTATAGGAAATGAACATGAAGATGTGATTATTATGAAGTTGAATATCGCCCATAAATTAATACTGTATGGTACAGATTGAAAATAGCTTCAAGTCGAATTGTATCACTCAATTATAGTTATGCGAGAAGAAGGAAGACAAATCTATCATTATAACAAATGTTATCACTCAATTAGGAAAATTAAGCAAACTTATCATTAGAACAAATTTGTTACTCAATTGCGAATGAACATAAAGATGTGATTATTATGAAGATGAATATCAATCATAAATTAATACCGTATAATACACATTGAAAATAGCTTTAAGTCGATTTTTATTACTCAATTATAGTTATGAAAGAAAAAGGGAAGCAAATCCATAGTTATGAAATAAGAACAGAAGCAAATCCGTCATTATAACAAATTTTATCACTCAATTAGGAAAATTAAGCAAACCTACCATTCTTATAGCAAATTTTCTCACTGAATTGGGTAAAGTAAGCAAATCTGTTATTGTATATCAAACTTTATCACTGAATTAGCAAAAGTAAGCAAATCCATCATTGTTTAACAAATGAACATAAAGATGTGATTATTATGAAGTTGAATATCGCTCATAATTAATATTGTATGGTACAGATTGAAAATAGCTTCAAGTCGAATTGTATCACTCAATTATAGTTGTGAGAGAAGAAGGGAGGCAAATCTATCATTATAACAAATTTTATCACTCAATTAAGAAAATTAAGCAAATCTATCATTCTGATAGCAAATTTTCTCACTGAATTGGGCAAAATAAGCAAATCTGTTATTGTATAGCAAATGAACATGAAGATGTGATTATTATGAAGTTGAATATCAGTTAATTATGGTTATAAAAGAAGAACGGAAGATGAATACGACTCATGTTTGATTCGCATGTTTGTTGAAGATGAACTAAATAAGGAATATAGATCGAAACGGTGAAAGATTTGCTGGGGATCTGTTTGGAATCAGAATATAGATCGAAACAGAGGTGATTTTTTTGAAAATGATGGGAGATTCAGGGAAAATCTCTTCGTTTGTTTCGATTTCAAAATTGCAAATCGCCTTAGAATGGTTTCCAAATCGCTTCAAAATAGTTTCCAAATCAGAACAATTGAGAAAGAGCGTGTGTGTCATGCGCGCAGGAGAGAACTCGTGATATCTTCTTTGCTTCACACGTGTGGTGTGACATTGAGGGGTAAAATTGGAAACTGAAATAGGGCAGGACTTGGTGGGTATTAATTTGTTTCCATGGGACCGGCTGGTAAGTCCCCCCTATAAAGCATCAGTTTAAAAGGCTCAACAATTAATCCAATTCCTAATTCCTAACAATTAAGGGCCGACAGTTAAGGCCCAATTTTCCTAACCCTAGATTCTCTTAATCCAATTTTACCTATAATTTGCTTGATAGCACACCACACCAGCAGCCCAGCTCAATCCAAGAAAGCAACGACGTAGCAGCACACGAATGGAGCAGCAGTAGCAGCAACAACACCATAAGCACAAGTATTTTTTTTCTTTTTTCTATTCAATTAATTAAATATTTGTCTTGTCTTTTGTTCAATTAATTACTATTATAATATTGGTATTTACATCATCAAAAATAATTTGTTTAAGTTTAATGGTTCTCATCACATAATTTAAAAATTTCGTGTTTTATTAAGTGGTGGTGGTGCTCTTGTTTTGAATTTTAATCTAAAAAAATATTTTGATCTCAGCTCATTATGAATTTTAAAAGAAATTGTCCTTCTGGATTCGCAAAAAGGAAAAAGTAGCAAAGAGTTGAAAAATTAGTTGAGAAAGATTGATTGAATGGATTAGCATTGTTATCCATTGAAAATGATTTTGCAAAAAAACTAGATTATACAAGTATGATTGATTTATTTACTTTTAAAAATGCAAGAAAAACAAGGATCAAGTGGAACTTATTAGTTGTTGTAATGTAATGTTAAGTATTTTTTATGATTTTAATACAAATCTTTTGCCATTTACCTTATTTATTTATTTTTTTCATTCAATAAAAAAAAATTGTGAAGGGCCCCAAAAATTTATTAGTTGATTATCGGTTTTAGGCCTCGGAAATCTCAGGACCGGGTCTGCCGGTAACACACAATTAGCGATGAACAGTACCTCGCTTGTTATAGTGAGGTACTGTAATACTCGTATATTAGTGATGAACAATACCTCGTTTGTATAGCGAGATACTGTAACATTCGTATATTAGCGATGAACAATAATGAGACTAACACAGTCTATTTTTTTATGAATAATATCACTAATTTAGCTAGAAAATGATTTTAACTAGTTTGTTATGGATATTCTAAGGATCCTGCTTTGTGGTGTTCTAAATATATAAAAATAAATAAATAAATAAACAAAATAAAAAAAATGGGAGGAGAATAGTGTGTATTTTAGTTGGGAAATGAAATGGGGGTGCAAAGAAACAAAAATAAATGCGGACCATTTCAAAGCGACCTCCTCGCAATTCGGGGGGGGTCTTGGGTTGGGTCTGTCTCTCTCATAGTTTGACCGATGGCGAAGGCGATGGTAGAGAGCATTGTGGACGTAGGTGTAGGTGGTGGTGTTGTCCTCCTCCTTCTCCTCCTCCTTATGCTGCTTCTCATCATCCTTCTCATCCTCTTCGCCTGCAAGCCATGGCGTTTCTTTCTCTCCTCCTCCTCTCGCACCCGCATCACCATCATCAACCCCTCCTCCTCTCAGGTTCCTCCATCTCCTTTTTCCCTCTCTCTCTATATATATATATATATTTGTTGTGTATCATTCATACGTATTCATTCTTTAATTTCCTTTGATCTTAGGGTTTTGAGCTTGTTTCTTGTTTTGCACTATTGATTGCAATGCATTCTGTGTTAATATTTGAAGTGATGTCGTTGGATGTCAACATTTGGTTTTTATTTATTTATTTATCTACTGTTTCGCCACAATTTGGTTTTTTGATCATTAACAATGGTATATTATAAGAAAATGCACCAAGGGGGTGCTTTGTTGCGTAGTGTGATATATAAAGTTGGGCCCTTTTTAATCACTTAAAAGCTTTTGAGACTGTTACATTGTGTGCTTGGTTGGGAGATTTGGGAAGGCATTTGAAAAGAAAAATAGTAAAGACAAGTGAAATGTAAATAAAATATAACTATATCTTTCTCTTTTTAAATTTCTTTTCAATTCTCTCAACCAAAAAGAGCGTTAGTGAATTAATATGGTATCAGAGCGCTCAAGTTTTGCATTCTTTATTCTTTTTACATATGAATGTTTGCATAATAAATAAATAAAAGCCTATTCCAATGTGTCTACAAAACTCAAAAATTGATTTACGGACAGGATAACCCTCCCAGACTCTTTATTTTCAAAACTATTGTAACATTGCCAATAAATATTCTTCTATTGCGTTTACCCCATAACAATCCTATAATTGCCAATCGAATCAACCTCCCAGCCTTTTTCCTCCCTTTATCCACATGAGCGTTTTGGGAAGACTTGCCAACTTCAATTCAAACAAAGAAAGGGTCACCGACCAAAGAAAGGCTGCCTACATTTGATTCTCCCTAGATCCTGCAGTAGCAGGAACTTATGCACTCTGACTGCCTTTTGCATTGACTAGCCTAGCCTAGGTGTCCTTCTTTGTAGAAGTCTATTCAATGTAAAGACTGACAATATGAGGCCAATTCTTGCATTCACACCAGAGCTTCAACATCAAAAATGTCTTTTATTTAGGGAATTAGTTCAAATTGTTATATCTACAGGGTGAAAACTGATAATCTGAGGTCAATGCACGTGTGTCAATTTTCATGTCTGTTGTTTTAGCATCTTCTTTAAATATAACATTTTAGTGCTTTAATGTGTTGTGCCTTTATATAGGCAAGATTTAGTTGGTGCACAGCAGAATGTGCAAATTCGTTTAGTGATGTATCCGTATATTATTTGTCCAGTGTACAGAACATCTTTTGTTGTTATGTATACAAATGTTTTCATCTTTGTGCTAATTATTATGTCACATTGTCATTTTCTGTGTGTATTCCAAATTTCAATTACAATTGTTGTCAGGGTTCATATTTTGAGCAACTAAAACTGGACAGTCTTGTATGCATCACAATTTCTTTACCCTTATGCAATGATAAATTTCTAGTAATGTTGTGCCCACTTGGGCATTTGTTTTAGGTTTTTTACTTGTGAACTGGTTTTCTTCGTCACTTTCGTGCTGTTGTCACCTTGTGATAACTTCTTTTGTAGGTTGATGACATAGAGAGGCCTCTTGTCTCAGAGGATTTGAATCTTGTCCAAAATCAAAGCAATGAGTTTGGTGGAAATTTTTCTCTTGAGGGGGTATGTCATTCAACTGAAGGCCATTTCAGCTCACCCCAAACTCATGGTGTTGGTTATAGACAACGGATTCCATCTACATCTTCCCAGTTATCTCAAAGTATGAAGTTTTATTCTGTTTTCTTTTTCATCCTAGATTATATTATCTCTTCAAATTATTGTGTTATGTACCTTGATTCTTTTTGTTTTCACTAACTGAACCAGAATTTTATCCCTCTTCTTTCAGGTGGTAGCTTTGTTTTAGATGTAATTCCTGACCCTTTGAAAGATATATTCATTGGTCAGACACTTAAGCATCCCAAAAAACCTGTTGAAGAGGAGAGGTATGCCAGGAATGATGACTTGAAAGTTTGTCCAGACAGTGGTAGCTTTAATGAGTTTATACCTGAAGGTATTGCAGATGAAAGTAAGTCTCCTTTTTTTGACTTGTATAAACAAGTTAATGTTCTATGAGTCTTTCTAATTGGATGAAGATGTAAAACATGTCATCATATCTTTCTGTTAGAAGTGCAGGAAGTAGCCTCACCTTGGAGATTATCTCGGGTCCTTCTCGTGGGCTTCGTTGTTCCATACAATCAACAGATGCTTCAAGGCTTCCACTGATACTTGGAAGGGTTGCTCCAAGTGAACTATTACTGAAGGATTCGGAGGTTTCAGGGAAGCATGTGCTGATAAACTGGAATTTAAATGTAATTTGATATGCATTTCTGTTGAACCTTTGAAATTTGCATGTTGTTGTGCTTAATTGAAATGTTTTTATTTATACATTGATTTCAGAAGTTAAAATGGGAAGTGGTGGACATGGGCAGCTTAAATGGAACACTCTTAAATTCACAGGCAATCCACCATCTGGATTCTACAAGTAGACGTTGGGGCCTTTCCACTGATCTTGCAAATGGTGACATAATAACTCTTGGTACAAGCACAAAAATATTCGTAAGTCAATCTGCATTTGCATCAAGTTGTATTGTAAATATAGCAGTTTTCTTCTGGGTAAGAAGATAGTTTTCAGATGAATTGATTTTTATCCTATTTCTCTAGGCTACATTCAAACAAAGAATTTAACTTGATGGTTTAGGTATATCATATGCTCTTGTGCAAGAGCATGAAGTTCTTTTAGTTGGAATGAACCTGTGCTAACCATTTTGCAGTATCTGGAATAGGGAGAAATTCTAATGACATGTAGAATTTAGGCCTGGAAATTAAGAGAATGGACATTTATACATAGCAGTCAGCAGCGGTATCCATATTGTATTTGTATTTTTTGCATATACGGTTTGGATATTCATGGATATGCGTCTGAAACTTTCTAAAGATATTTGTAGTTTGAAAATAAGTTTTATGCATATTGGCCAGTGTTTTGAAAAGCGCGCTTAGGCGCACGCCTAAGCTCAAGGCGAGGCAAGGCGCAGCTTTGCGCCTCAGGCATGGTGAGGCGAGGCGAGGCGACATAGGGGAAGCGCTGCCTAGGCGATGAGGCGAGCGCCTTATTACAAAGCGCAAGGCGAGCGCCTTGCGCGCCTCGGCTTTCTGTGTGGATACCCACATGGGATGAAAACAGTATAAAATTTTCAAAATGTGAGTCAAAAGAGCAAAAACATTATTAAAAAAAAAAAACCCCAGTGGAGAAGAAGAAGAAGACGCAACGAGTACATACCACGCCACACAGGTTCTGCTCTCTTCTCCTCTTCTTCTGTTCTCTGCTTCTCTTCTCTCTTTGCTTCTTCTCTTCTGCTTCGTCTTCTCCTCTTCTTTCGTCATCTTCTCTCTCGCGATCGCGATCTCTCTCTCGCGATCGCGATCTCTCTCTCTCGCTCTCTCTTCTGTCTCTCTCTTTATCTTCCTAATTCATATATATATATATATATATATTTATATAATATTATATAATACCTATTATATAATATATAAATAGATATTAGATAATATATAAAATATAATTGATTCAAATATAAAATATATAATATAATATTATACAATACCTATGATATAATATATAATATACTTATAGATAATATGTAAAATATAATATATACTTATACATAGTAATAAAAAAAAATACACATGTATATGAAATAAAATAAAAAAATTAATTGAAACACATTATTTAAAAAATATAATAAATAAATAAAATAATATATATATAAATTAAAAATTAATTATTTTTTTTCTTCTTCTCTTCTTATTAAAAAAATTAATTATATACATATTAAATATTTGCTTATGTTGAAAATTGTGCTATATTAATATTTTGCTTAACTTCTATAACTTGTGCTTCGCTTTGGTGAGGCGAGCGCCTCGATGCTTAGGCTCCAGGTGACCTTGGCACCTCGATGGGCCTAGAGCTTTTTAAAACAATGATGTTGACAAACTACACCTAGTTTTAGTCTCCATTTGATGGGGGTCTGGGAGGGGTAGATTGGGTACATACCTAACCTTTAGCATAATTTGCATAAAGTGACTGCTTTCAAGTTCAAACCACAACCTCAAGGTTAGTAGGCCGAGTTTTATGCATTATAGCATACGTATTTCAAACATGTAGCAATACTTGGATACTTGAGGACATTTCTGACATGAGCGGTATATTGAGATTCATCCTTCAAAAAAATATAACTTTGGTTACAGATACTTGGATTATTTCTTGATGTCTAAGACTTAAGATCTAAGAACCATAAGAAAAATTGATTGTGCCAAAATAGGTCCCAAATCTATGTCCATGCAACACAAAACCTCAATTTCATCTGCAACATTTTACATTAGATATTATCATATTTTATAAGTGCATTAATGTTGTATGCTCACCATATCTATATCTCGTAGTCATGTCTATGCATGCTTCATGGTTTGGATTTTAGGTTTGTAAATTCTAGGTTAAGGATACTCTTCTAACCGTTGGTTCAAAGTCTGTGTGTGTAATAAAGGAAAATGCTAAAAACTGCCCTTAGGCGGTTGTTAGTGTTGAAAAATGTGTAAAAGGTATATTGAGATGTGTAAAAAGTGTATTGAGATATGTTAAACTGTTTTGGGATATGTGTAAAGTGTATTGGGATTATAAATATTTTGATGTTTTCTTATTTTCAAAGACAGCCCTTATTAGCTATGTCATTAGCAAGACCCGTAATAAAAATATGATTGTCATCCATGTGTGATAATTTACTGAATATTAGAGGAGGGTTTAGAAGATGTGAGGTAGAAAATCTATAATTTTTATATGACTACTTGATAATGAGGAAAAAGTACCTTTTTGGATGGTAAGGGAAATGATCTCTGCAGCTTAATGCTTTCAAATATCTGTTTTTTCTTGGTTGATTCTTGTTTTGATCACTTTTTTTTATTTTTTATTTTGTCAATAATCTAGTCAACACGGTATACATTTAAAATAGGACTGCGCTCCAAATAATCCCCTTTTGTTACTTTTATAGGTGACTAAACAGATCATTATGTGTATCTCTTGTTTATTACCCTGTAAACTAAACCCCCATGCAATTGCTACTTTTGTTCCACTTACTCCACCATTTTCACAGGTTCAGATTACATCCCAAGCTGAGTGCTTGATCCCTTTTGGAGTTGGTCTGGCATCAGATCCTATGGCCGTTCGTCGAGGAGGAAAGAAGCTGCCCATGGAGGATGTGTATTATTACCGGTGGCCTCTTCCTGGGGCTGATAAGGTCCTAGACATATGTATTTGGATTTTATCCTGAACGTTTTGCACACTTTTTGAGGACTAATCTTCCTTAATTGCTGAACATGCAGTTTGGAATATTCGGTATATGTGATGGACATGGTGGAGCAGGTGCTGCCACCTCTGCAAGCAAGTTAGTGTTTCACTTCACATCCAACTGAAAGAGGGTTATTTTCCATGGGTTGCTAAATTCCCTCTTGAATTTTAATATCCTGAGCTCCTGACAACCATAAGAGGACAATTTTAATATATTGTTACTGGGCCATAAGATATATTGAATTTTCCCCAGATCCTTTGTCATATTTACTTTCGAAAATGTAAACATATTTAAGCTAGTTTGGGGAACTTTGAAAGAGATCACCTTGTTGGAAATAAGATTATATTGTCAAAGATATCAGAAGATATAAAAGATATTAGAATACATGGAGATCCCATGATTTATCCTTTCTAGGTGGAATAAAAGGAAGTGATTACCTAGTTCTTGCTCTGTTTTTTCTTCACAAATACTATGCATTTTGGTTTCGTCAGGCATGATTAATTGCTTTCTGCTTATTAAACAGGACGACTGATAGTTTAGTCAGGTTGGAAGTAGATCAGCCTGATATTGTGTTTCCTATACAATTCTTTTTGAGTTGCACCTAATTTTTTATTTTTTTTTGGTTATAATCTTTCTTACACGTATCTGTCAGGATGCTAAGGCCATATCTAATTTTATTATTCTCCTGTATTTTACCCTTGCCCATGTGCAGGTGTCGGTTACTGTTTGCGTACTTGACTAATTACTTTTTGGCAATTTAATCTCCAGGATACTGCCTGAGGTGGTTGCTAGTATCTTATCAGATTCATTCCGAAGGGAGAATGTTTTATCACAATGCGATGCTTCAGATGTCCTTAGGGATGCATTTTTGCAAACAGAAGCAAGCTTGAACCACTATTATGAGGTTTTTATCCTGACATGGCTATACTTTTTTTTCTTTCTTCAGCTGTATGTATCTTGTTGAAGTCTATTGTATTACATAGAATATGCCTCTGAATCATTCTGCTCTGTGCAATATCTGCCTTGATAAGTCTCCATTCCTTTCTGTGGATTTTATTTTTTATCTTTTTCATCTTAGTTTAATATTTAATTTTATCATTTTTTATCTTTTTCACCTTAGCTTGATACATAATTTTATCACTCTATTTCTCGTATTCTGGATTATGTACTTGCACAGTTGCACTGGAGAACTGAATGCTATTGTCACGTTTAAAGGATGACTAAGTATTAACTATTGTTTAGTTATTTTATTTTCAGCCTCATGGTTTTTAGTATTGACAATTTGTTGAGAATCAATGTTTAACCATAAGAACAACTTTGTTTTAAGTTCTTGCACATTGAATGTTGTGATCTAAATCCATAGCAAATTGTCAAATTCTTCACTATTTTGGTCGTTATAATTTAGTTGTTTTAGTGGTTTCTTCACACCCAGGGGTTATGGAATCTCATTTTCTATTTTTTTTTCTTTTTTGTGCTGTAAGAACCTTAAAACTATATCGTTTTTATAATAATTAAAAATTTTCAGGGTTGTACTGCAACAGTGCTTCTGGTCTGGACTGACAGTCATGAAAATTTCTTTGCACAATGTGCAAATGTTGGAGACTCATCTTGTGTTATGAAGTATGTATTTATTTGTCATTCTTATATTTATTTGTTAATTGTGATAATCATCAGAATTTGTACTTGCTTAGTATTAAATTCATTATCTCTTCTGTAATTCTAGAATTAGGTCTATAGAGAATTTTGGGAGCCCTAAATTCTCCATATCCTTGCTTTCTGTTCTTCCAATTTGTTGGTTAGAGGTTACTTCACATGCTAAGTTCGTTCTTGATCCTGTAAAATGTTATTTTCTCACACACTAACATTGGGATATATAGCTTATGCGTGGGAGCATGTGTTTGAAAAATTAGGAGATCCAAGATATTGTCCTACTAATATATGTGCATTTGCATCGAAGCCTCCGTAAAAGAAACATGATGTTGGCTTTACAATTGGATTTTTTATTTTATTGCTTCTATTGTTCGTCATTTTTTAAGCATGTGTTACATGAACTCGGGTACTGGTGTCAGCTGCAGGTATGTGTGTAAATGAGGATTCATCTAATTCCTATGCCCAAAGACACAGGACATGCAAGATAAACACACTTAAATATTGGTGGGATAAGCCAATTGGCTCCAAAAAGCACAGCTGACAGGGATAGCCTATGTGTTTATGGCTATTTTTCATAGCACAACTGAAGTGCATTTTTTTTTTACCTGCTTTACCCTTCTTAATTTGATCTATAAGCAATATCCTTTTTCAGATCACATGTTGCGTGTCCTAAGTATATTTATTTTAATCTATGAACTATTAAATATTACCACTGTTTTGAAGAATTACAGAGTCCAAAATGAGTGGTTAATATTGGGCTGCCAAAGTGGTTGCATTTTCCCCCATTTTTTGTACAATTTTGACCATCTTTTCTCTTATCTTTATGCAAACTATTAGCAGAAGTGGTATGCACCTAGTGGGTGGATCATAGTTTATTTATCACCTATCATTTGAAATAAGATTGTGGCGGTTCATAACATTGGGGTTTTTGCTAGACAAGAAGGTGAAGGGGGGATAACTTGCCTGGCCACAGTGGTTTCTCTAAAATTCCAATTATTACATTATATTTTAAATAGGTAATATACTTCAACATTTAATTTTGCAAGAAATTGTGTTCTGCAAAAGGTTTTCTATTTTTAGGGTGAATTTTTAAATTTCTTATTTTTTCAAATTAATTAGTGAGGTAGAATATGGCAGGTGATGAGGTTTAATTAAATGTAGATTTTGCTAGTAGCAGCATTTTATCCCCGGGGAGTAAAAAAGGCAAGGAAGAGTGATGTGATCATCGTAAATGAAAATGTTAGGGGGAGGGGGGAAGGGGAAAGACCTAAAATTGACATGAGATATAGTATTAAAAGAGGATATGAATTAACTTAACCGAGCATATAGCCCTTCACAAAGCAGAATAGCAAAAAGGAATTCATGTAGCTGATCCCATCTGATTGGGACACACGGCCTCTGTTATCAGAATCTTACGATTCGCGATTCGATTCACGATTCGATACGCAATTTTTGCAAAATCGATACGAATCTATGAGTGAATCTATTTTGGAAGTGAATCTCTAGTGAATCGCACGATTCACAATCGATTCACGATTCGATTCACTTTTTACGATTCATGCAATTTTTAAAATTATTGTGTTCGACATATTTTCGACTCATTTTTTCCATCTTTTTAGTGAAAATGACATAATACAACTTCTAATAACATTTAATACCAAAATAATCAACATATATATATGATTTGTTGTTATTTTAGTGATCATGGAGTTTTTTTTAGGATCCAATCAGATTCAGTCAGACCTAACATATTTTTAACATTTCTTTTCATTTTTTTCCCCTTCAAAAAATTGTAATATATCTTCTAAAGATGTTTAAGATTAAAGTTATACTATAAATTATCTATTATTATTTTATTAAATTGAATATTACATATGTGAGGTCAGTTATACTTTTTAAAATGTTTTAAGTTTTAAAATGAAATATCCTAAATAATTATTTCTTATTATTTGCTCACTCTTACTTAGAAAAGCATATATGCTTATTGTCCAAATATCAATATCATTGTTAACTATTGTTACTTTAGAAATTAATTGTTTGTCTATTTGATTTTTATCTTTATTAAGAATGGTTGATAAAAAATATCTAAAAAAAAAAAAAAAGAGGTAAGATGGTGATTTTACATAGGAACCTTTGTTAACTTCTTACCTATTAAATTACGTGATTATCATTCAAAAAAAAAAGGCAAGGAAGAGTGATGTGATCATCGTAAATGAAAATGTTAGGGGGAGGGGGGAAGGGGAAAGACCTAAAATTGACATGAGATATAGTATTAAAAGAGGATATGAATTAACTTAACCGAGCATATAGCCCTTCACAAAGCAGAATAGCAAAAAGGAATTCATGTAGCTGATCCCATCTGATTGGGACACACGGCTGTTATAGTAGCTTTCCCATTTGTGTTACTTTCCTTGTTTTTGGATTTAAATTTTCTAATTTAGTCCATATAGTTGACAGCTTTCTCAAATTGAAATAGTCCCATTTCATACAACCCTGCACCCTGTCTTTTCAAGTGGGTAAATGATTCTCTTGTGGCAGTATTGATGGAAAGCAGATTAAGATGTCGGAAGACCACAGAATAGCCAGTTATTCTGAAAGACTCCGTATGCAAGAAACAGGAGAACCATTGAAAGATGGGGAAACGCGCTTATGCGGTGTGGAAAATTTGCTGTCTGACTGATCATTTACCTTGTTGAAATTTATTAATCAGCTAACTTTTTCTTCGTTTTTTTTTTTTGCTTACTGTCATTCAGGCTTAAACCTTGGTCGGATGCTCGGAGACAAATTTTTGAAACAGCAGGATGCTCGCTTCAGTTCAGACCCTTATATTAGTCAAGTTGTGCACATACATCAAGCAAGCAGGGGCTTTGCACTTATAGCAAGGTGATCTTGCTTGTAATTAATGTATTTTATATTATTTGCTCTGATTATTCAGCTATAGTTACCCTCATAGCTCTTGGTTTTCTGTCCCTGGCTTGTGACATATGGCTGATCTTCTGTTCGACAGGCCAATGTTGAGAAATCAATATTGCCTTTTTTCTTAACCAGATCTTCCTGCAAATAGTTTGTCTCCTATTTCTTGAGAAAGTCTTGTTCTCATTTGGAAATACCTAGAGCTGAAATTTGTTTTGGGTGTAGTTACACTTAGCACCACTACACCCAAAATCCCACTTCGGCTCCTCTTCTTATAATTGTGACAATTTTTCCCACATTTCGAATCAAATCGCTTTGTGACCCAGCTGTAAGGCCCCGTTTGGGGACTTACCATTTTAGTCAAAAAGCCAACGACTCATACCAAAAAGTCAAAGATTCTCTTTTTTCTCTACTTTTTGCATATCTTTTCGTAATTAGCCAAAAAGTCATCCCAAACATATAAGTTTTTTTTACCTACTTTTTTAGCCAAATAGCCAAAAAGTTACTAAATTAGCCTGTTCCCAAACGAGGCCTAAGTCTCATTTTAAGAAACTAAAAAGGCCCCGTTTGGGGACTTACCATTTTAGCCAAAAAGCCAACAACTCATACCAAAAAGTCAAAGATTCTCTTTTTTCTCTACTTTTTGCGTATCTTTTCGTAATTAGCCAAAAAGTCATCCCAAACATATAAGTTTTTTTTACCTACTTTTTTAGCCAAATAGCCAAAAAGTTACTAAATTAGCCTGTTCCCAAACGAGGCCTAAGTCTCATTTTAAGAAACTAAAATAGTCACTTGGTAACTGCACATGATCACCACGTGACTATTTTCTGTTAACTTATTAAATGGAGACTACGACAGCCCAATGTCAATAAATCAATGTTGCATTTTTGTTAACTAGATCTTCCAGCAGATAGTAATCTCTTGAAGTCGTCTTTTTATTTTTTCTCCCTCTCTCATTTGGAAATTCCTCAAGCCAAAATGCGTTGTACGTACAATTTTTTATATAGTATTTATTTCTTTTAACATGGTGGAAATGTGGCTGTGGATGCAGTGATGGTTTTTGGGATGTTGTTAACTCCAAGAAGGCAAATCAGCTTGTCCAACAGGTTTTATCTCTTGATTGATGGGTTTTTGTGGAGTGTTCTTACTGAGTTGTGTTAATTTTATTTTTATTTTTGTTTTGATGTTAAACTGAGCAGGCAAGGGAGAGATATGCTGCAGATAGAGAAAATCCGGCAGAAAAAGTAGCTAGTTTTTTGTTGAGCGAGGCCAGAACACAACGTACAAAAGATAACACGTCTATTATTTTCTTAGATTTTGACAACATAAATAGAAACTCTTCTTGTAAACCAGATTCTTAGAATTAGCTTTTATGTAAAATATTGTAATTTTTATAATTTTATTTATTTTTTCTCTCTCTGAAATAAGTCTCTCTCCTTGCGTTTCCTTTAAAGCTGTCTAGAAGAGTTCTCAAATAAGTTTGCCGGTTATGTTTCTTGCTTGTGTCTTGGCACTTCAGTTTGCAGAGTAGGAAGCTGTGGTTTTTTACATTTTTTTAGGTATTTTAGTATAAAGTGTAAGATAAATTGATAGAGAGAAAGAGAGAGAATAAATTGTGTATTGATTGATATGTATTGATGTATTACAAGATTGTTGTCTATATTTTGTATATTACAAGCTATTATATAGGAGAGGATTTGGGAGTAGGTGAGGTAGGTGAGTGGTGGTAGTGGAGGTGGTGGGTGGTAGTGGAGATGGTAGGTGGAGTTGGTGGTGTGGTAATTTACACAATTTACAATTTACATTAACAGCCCCCCTCAAACTCAAGGAGGATAGGAACTAACCAACTTGAGTTTGAAGAGAGTAACAAAACAGAAAAATAAACTGATAAATAAAATAAAACAGGATAGGAGACACGGTATGGTCGTGTCGGACCGTTGTAGCAGACAGTTTACGGGGTCATGTAGGACCGTTGTAGCAGAGGTTGTGGTGGTGCACCAAGGGGGCGACTTAGGGAGTGCGCCATGATTGGCGCAAACAAATTTGAAATTTACGCAGAAAATTTTGAAAAAATTTGAATTTTTTTTGTCCAAAAAATATAATACAAATCGACCTGACACAGAAGCCCACAATCTACACCACACACCCATGCTTGAGCTCGGTGCAGCTTGGTTTGGTGCGTACATGTGTGTATGGTAATTTGGATCCAAGCCCACTTTGTCTATCAATTTAACGTTGTCAATTTGACGCAAACCAGAGTTTTGATAACAGTTTCATTCTAATTTTAAAGTTTATTTCAGGAATGACCATATATGTATGAGCATGGAGATGAAAATTTGAGAATGATGTTAGGATTTTGTGCCCTATCAAAACAAAAAGGGCGAACTACGCTAACGGTCCTTATAGTTTAGACATTGTGTTATTTTTCTCTCTAATTTTTCAATTGTGACACATTTAACCCTGAATTTTGAATCTTGTTCCAAATAACAACAATTGAAGATACCATTGCTCAATTTCAAGAGCAAAGTTGTCAATTTGATAAAATATAAACTAGTTTGACAGAAATAGATGTCAAAAAAATATTTGTGAATTTTTAAAAACTATTTCTACCCATTGAAGATAAAATTATGTAAAATTAATAAACCTTTCAAAAATTTATTTATTTTTTTTTTTAGCCAAATTATTTTTTATTATATGTTTGGATGATTATCATGTAATGGGTTGTTGTTTTTATTTTCATTAAATTAGTTTTTATTTTTTCAAAAGTCAAATATGGTGACAAAATTGATATTATTTTCCTTATTATTAAATGAATCCATTAAATCAAAAAAATCTAAAACTAAAAACATTTCATATATTAAATATCGATTACACGTTAAAAGTCTAACAACCACTCATTACATGATCATCATCCAAACACATAATAAAAATTAATGTGATATAAAAATAAATAAATGAATGTCTAAAAGATTTATCAATTTTACATAATTTTATATCTAGTGGGCAGAAATTATTTTTAAAAATTTAAAAATATTTTTTTGACATTTATTTTTGTCAAATTAGTTTATATTTTATCAAATTGATAAATTTGCCTTTGAAATTGAGCAATGATATCTTTAATTGTCCTTATTTAAAACAAGATTCAAAATTTAGTATCAAATGTGTCATAATTAAAAAGTTAGAGATTAAAGTGACACGAGTCCTAAACTATAGGATTGTTAGTGTAATTTGCTCAGACAAAAATGATATTGTATTAGTTCGGAAAATGTCCATGCGTGGCCAAATCTGGGGCTTTGTTTGTCATTTATGTGGATGTGGCATGTTTGGTCAATTTTTATTCAACTAAGAAAAAATCAAACTATTTTCTAAATAATTTGACAGAATGCACTAGTTCAATCTTGAAAGGAAGATAATATAGCGACCCCGGTCTTTTCCCACTTGATTATTGTATCCGTACTTAGGTTCCGTAGATTCTGTCATTGTATAATTGTTGTTGTTGTCCCTTATTTTCTCATTTGGAAAAAAAAAAAAAGCCTTTTTTTTTTTTTTTTTTTTTTTTTTTTTTTTTTTTTTTTTTTTTTTTTTGTATGTGTAAAAGTGTGATGGGGTGATCCCGGAGATGAATAAAATATGGGTTGATGTGCAAATTTGTATTTGTTTTTTTTTGTTTTTTTTTTGTTTGTGTAATTTTTATTTTTATTTGTTGTTTTGTTGTTGTTGATGAGCATGGTGATGAGGAATAGATAATGGAAAAAAAAAATAAAGGTGGGAAGAATAATAAGAATAATAAAAATAAAAAATGTATGAATGGGGAAAGCATAGGCGCTGGTGGGTGGAATAAATGAAGGCAAATGATGGAGATGATGAAAATGGATCTGATGGAGAGAAAAAGGGACCCCAGAGAGAGAGAGAGGGAGTGGGGGATTAAAAAAAAAAAAAAAAAGTTCCATGTCTCCCATGTGCGGGGTGCAGGGTGTATCAGTGTGCATGTGTTTTATTGTTATTTTAAAGATGCCTTTGTTAGCTTCAAAAAGATGCCTTTGTTGTTCAAAAAAAAAAGAGGCCTTTCTCTCCCTAACCTCTCTCCCCCCCAAACCGAGAGAGAGAGATCGAGAGTGGTCTGATTGACGCAGAGCAGTGGAGGGCGACTTCGGCGGCGGCGTGCTCGGCCGGGCGAAGGTGGAGAAGGCAGCGCGGCTCCGGTAACGGCGACTCTGTTAACAGCGGCGCCGCTCTTAGGAGTGGCCGAGGGAGACTGGCTGGGAGTGGCCGAGGGAGACGGAACGGGAGTGGAGGCGATCGACGACGGGGTGGGAGTCGAGGCCGGGGCGGGGGGAGATGAATTCGTTCCATTGCCACAGTGCGTTGGGGAGCGGCTTAAGCCAGAAGGAGCGGCGGAGGGGAGAGGGGATGCTCCAGCGGAGGAGAGAAGCGGAGGACGCCGAGTCGGCGTACATTGAACCGGACCGAGTGGTGGAGACGAGTGGACCGAGTTGCTGTCCAGGATAAAAAAAATCAATCAGAGAGGGACTTTGTAATAGCTAGTGATGGCAGGTATGTGTAGAAAATAAGTGGAATAGGTAGAGGTCCGGCGGGGGGCCAAGGCGAGGCTGCCGCCCGCCGGTGAAGCAGAATGATTAGGTTGTTAACCTAGCTCTGATACCATGTAAGATAAATTGATAGAGAGAAAGAGAGAGAATAAATTGTGTATTGATTGATATGTATTGATGTATTACAAGATTGTTGTCTATATTTTGTATATTACAAGCTATTATATAGGAGAGGATTTGGGAGTAGGTGAGGTAGGTGAGTGGTGGTAGTGGATGGTAGTGGAGGTGGTGGGTGGTAGTGGAGATGGTAGGTGGAGTTGGTGGTGTGGTAATTTACACAATTTACAATTTACATTAACATAAAGGAAAATAAAAGTGAACAGGAAATATTTTTGAGGGTCAACGGGAAACAATCTTATGTGAGCAAAAAATATTTTTCACTTCAAAAAGTAGAAAACGTTTTTCAAATTAAAGTTATACTAATATTACCATATTATTACTATTTACTATTTCTTCCATCAGCACAACACCACCATCATGTTCACGACCACTGTCATCCCCCTTGCCGCCACTGCACCCCTACACATCACTATTGTTGCTATCGTTGCCACTACCCGAACACTTACACCTCCACCCCTCCACTACTATTATTACCATTGCTAATATAACTATTAGTATATTAGTTTTAAGAATGCAAGTAAATATAAGCAAACGTTTTCTGTCGAAACAAACAAGACATAAAGTCAAATATAACATGGCAACATGAAAAGTCTAATGAATAAGTCATTCAATCGATACTTACAATTTAACATAAGACATTTAAAATAAAAGAAAATAATAATAAAAAAAAAACTAAATAAGTGACTGATGAAAGAGGTGTTTGATAATTTGATTCAGTACTTAAAATTAAATGTATTAAGTGATAATCAACTAAGTCCATTTGATAACTACAATTGATATTAATTAAAATTTTAAATGCCTTTTAAAATGTAAATTAAAACTTAAGAAAATTTTAAATCATATGAAACTTATTTAATTCTAACTAAATTTACAAATACTAAACATAAGTATCAATATATACAATTATAAACTCACTACTATCACCACCACTACCATCAGTATGGCTGTTGCCACCACCACAATCATGCCATTGTCAACACTAGTGCCATCGCCGTCACCATCACAATCACCATCACCATCATGTCACCGCCACCACTACCTCTACAGTTACCACAACTATTATCAGTATCGCATCACCACGGTGACTACTACTACCACTACCATCACTATTATATTATCACTACCATCACAACATAAAAATTAAAATATATAATTTAAAAATAATAAATTTTAAATTTAATTTTATACTTATCAAACAATTTATATTTAATTCAACTTTTAAATTTTTATCAAACAACAAGTATTATGTGTCTTCTTATATATGAGTCATACAGATTAGTGTACCCAATTTGTATATTATCAGTATCGCATCACCACGCCTATCGTCACCATGACTACTACTACCACTACCATCACTATTATATTATCACTACCATCATAATATAAAAATTGAAATATATAATTTAAAAATAATAAATTTTAAATTTAATTTTATACTTATCAAACAATTTATATTTAATTCAACTTTTAAATTTTTATCAAACAACAAGTATTATGTGTCTTCTTATATATGAGTCATACAGATTAGTGTACCCAATTTGTAATCACAAATTGTTGCACCCTAAACTGAAGCAAGCTCAATAGGCGCAATTCTACGAAGAAAAGACCATACGACGACGACATGGCGAAGAAGAAGAAGAGAGCCGAGGCAGAAGCAGTGGAAGCACAAACAGAAGCTCCGAATGCAGAAACCGAGTTAGAGCTCGTGAATGGCGATTCTCACGACACGAAGCAGAAGAAGAATAAGAAAAAGAAAAGGAAGAGAGAGAATGAGAAAGATCACGTCCAACCCAAGGAGATACCCACTGTCAGCATCGCTGTCCCCGGTTCGATCATCGACAACGCTCAGTCTCTCGAACTTGCCACTCGTGTACCTTCCCCTCTCTCTCTCTCTCTCTGTTATTTGATTCAGAGAGTCTTCCCCCTTTTTTCTAACATTGGGTTGCCAAGAAAATGTAGGGTGATTAGACTAATTGAAATTTGCAGCTCAAATGCTCGATCATTTGCCACTGATGATGGAAAACTTGGCTCTGTTGAACCTAATACTATATATGGCTGGCTGGGTTTTATTGTTATCTCCTCACTTTAATTTGTTTCTTCTCAGTTGGCTGGTCAAATTGCACGCGCTGCAACCATTTTCCGAATTGATGAGGTATTTTAACTTAAGTGTATAATCTCAAATATTTCTATGTTTTATTGGTGGGTTGTTTCTATTGAATTAATGTTCTTCTTACTATCAATGAGTTTTATATTCGATCAAGATGGTACTTTGTGATGGGTTTGTGCTTAAATTAGAGTAATTGATTTTATTGAATTGGTTGTTTTGTGGGTGAAAAGAGGAACTGGGTTTCTTGATATTCAGCTGTTAACATTAGCTATTTTGTTCATCAAAAAGGGGGTTTAACTATTCCTATATAAACAGGTGGTTGTATTTGACAACAATAGTAGTTCAGTGAATGGTTCAAGTGTTACCACAGTGCATGACAATTCAGATGATAATGAAAGTGGCGCAGCTTTTCTTATAAGGATCTTGCAATATCTCGAGACACCACAGTATTTGAGAAAAAGTCTATTTCCAAAGCATAACACCTTGCGTTTTGTGGTGTGAACTTAATATCTAATTTGCTTAAATGTGATTGGTATTTCTTTTCTTTTGTTTCTTGTTAGTTCATGAAAACATACAAGTTGCTCTCGTCCTGGACTTTTGCAGGGTCTTTTGCCCCCACTTGATGCTCCACATCATTTACGCAAGCACGAATGGGCTCCATATCGTGAAGGTTGCTTTCTCCTTACATTCTCCATTCTTGTGTGTTGTAGTAGTCACTATGATATTATATGTGGCAATGCCTTTGCTTATTACATACTACATAGCCATTGAAATTTCAAGGTTAAAATTTTTCTGTCTCTTGAGAGTAACTGTTAACCCCCTATCCATTGTTTAAAGGGAATTATACTTGTTTCCTGTTTTGTTGGATGTGAGAGTGTTCCATTTGGTTTCTCTTCGATTATTGATTTTATGGGGGATTTGTATATGCTTTGGTTGTACAAGGTTTATGCCTCCTAGTTATGGCACGTTTGAGAGGCTAGAAATAAGCCATTTCTTTTTTTGACTTTTTTTAAAAGCCAAAATCAGCTAAAAGTTCACTACATTTTGTTTAGGAAAATTTACCCGTAAATCCCATACTTAAGGACATGTTTGGATTTTTTTTTTTGTTGATCATTGACTCACCCTTTGATATGTTGTCGTCATTTTGTAGGTGTCACCCTTAAGGAACAAGCTCCAAACTTTGCAAGCACACTAGTTGACGTGGGCCTTAGTAAAGTATGGCCTTCTCATATCAAAGTTTGCTTAGCATTTATATATATAGCATTTACTTGGTACCAATTGATAGCTTCCACCTTTCTTTTATGGAATAAATATGTTTGTTTTATAGTTCATTTTGAAGCATAAGAAGGTTATAATTTTGTCCATATATAGTGATACTGACACAATTATAAAATGTCTCCTCTGTTACTTGAAGAAAGCATAATATGGCAGTTTGGATTATAAGCTTAATTTAGGTGATTGTTGATTGGATGTCATGTTGTGCAGAATGTTTTGATTGATACAGTAATTGAACCTGGAGTAAGAGTGACTGTAGCAATGGGAACCAATCGCAATTTGGACGCTGGTAATGAATAAAAATCTTCTTTTTGTTTTGTGTGTGTGTGTGTGTGTGAGAGAGAGAGAGAGAGAGAGAGAGAGAGAGGAACAGGAATTGTCTTATGTTAGCCATCAATTTATAAGCTGCATTATTGAAGTTGAAATCATTCATGGCTCGATTCTAACATTTAAGTTTTTGCACCCCTTTTTTGGCCCCATATATTTGCATCTAAATGGAGTTGAATATTTTTTCCTTCCCCCTGCCCCTCCCAAACTATCTCTTGCCAAATTATTTTAGGTAAAAAGAAAGTACAGTCTCAACTCATAGTTGTATGATGCATGCTACTTACTTCATTCCCTCATTTATAATTTAAACCTATAGTATAATTTTAGTGCTTCAGCATTTACACTACCTTTTCATCATTAAATTCTGAAGTTTAATTTAGTTTTATACTAATGGTTATTGATCATGCGTGCAATTAAATTCTTCATTTGGATTACAAAGTTCTGTATTACTCATGTAGTTTACTACTACACAATTTCATTTTGCTAGATTTACCGCGCCAGGTTGTCTCATCTTCCCAGCCTAGGGAAGAACTGGGAATGTACTGGGGTTATAAAGTGCGACATGCTTCTAGTATCAGTTCTGTTTTCAATGATAGCCCATATAAGGTACATATGCTATTTCCATGAAATAAAATAATGGCAATGGATTTTGCTCTTTTGTACACGGGCTTCTTCAATCAAATTACAATACTTAATTTTACAGGGTGGCTATGATCATCTAATTGGTACCTCAGAGCATGGTCTGTTTTCAAAGTCTTCAGAACTTACAGTACCTTCTTTTAGGTATGGTTTTTTTTTTTTTTTATTACTGTTAGTGTCAGCTGTAGGTTCCTCAATGCCCTCAAGAGATCAGAGTAGATTTCTCTGTGCACTGAGATTGGTTGGTCATTGGAAATGGGGGTGAGCATAGTCCGGATTGGGGTAAAATCAGGACCAATTCATTATCTACGGTTCCCGAAAAATTGGAACCAATCTAATCCGTTTAAATCATGGAACCAATCCGAACTAATCCATTTAAACACAGATTAGATCGATTTAGGACTACGGATTCACATAATTAAATAACAAAAAAAAAAAACATTTTAATTTCATAAAACATAAACATAGCATCATATTAATTTCACAATAGCAACATGTCGTTCTATAATAGTCACATACTATTCTATAATTTAAACAACCATAAGAAAACTGGTTCCATCGTAAGTATTTAGATCATTACAAATTAAAATTAAAAACTAACAAATAAAAGTAATAAAAGAAGATACTATGCGGATTTAGGTTTAGGTTTAGGTTTAGGTTTTTTATAGAATTAGAGTAGATACTATGAGCGAGGGTGTATAATATAAATATAGGCTATTTGTATATGGTCCAGATCGGTTCCAATCCGAAACCGTGGGGTTCAATCTAGACCGATCCGTGGATTATGAATTTTTAATTTTTCAATCCGGAACCGAACCACGGATTCAAAAAACCAATTCAAACCTATCGGATTTGACTGGACTGGACTGGATTGGATTGGATTGGATTACGGATTTCACAGATTTCTTACTCAGCCCTAGTTGGAAACCATTGACTTTCAATGGTTTTATTTTATCTAATATGCATTGAAGTAAAAGATGTTGTGATCATTACAAGATCCAGGTCAAGTTTACAGAGCTAGTGCTGAGAGTTGGAGTACCGTTGATGGAAATATTACTCTTTAGCTATCCTCTTTTTGTAACCCCCCAAAAAAAACATTGGAGAACAATGGTTTGTGTTTTTTGGCTATCCTCTTTCTAAAAAACACAAACCATTACCGAACTCTTACCCACTCAGTGAAGACAGAATTTTAACTACCTAATGTATGGTCTTTGCCCAGAACAAAATTTCTTAGCTCTACACCTACTATCCTTGTACATCTTTCCACCTCTTATTGTTTTAAGCAAATTAACTTGTGATATCTTGAAATAATTTTATGTATGCATCACGATCTAAATCCAACGAAGGCTTTTTTTATATGATCTCATGATCTGCAGGCACTTATTAATTGCTTTTGGGGGGCTTGCTGGGTTGGAAGAGAGCATAGAAGAAGACAATAACTTGAAGGTAATTATTTATTATGAATTTGTTGCACTGTTAATTGGTAATTACATTTTAGTTGTGAACTAACTCTCTCTCTCTCTCTCGTCCAAATCATCTTACGGTGTTGATTTTGCTTGACAACTTTAAAGTCATACTTAAAGGCATCTTTAAAGTTGCTTTATTAAAGCGACGACTTAAACTTGCTAGATGAGCCAATAAAGCAGAATGCCGAAAAAAGGAAGAAGAAAAAAAAAATGGATGGTAAAGAAAACCAAAAATTAAAAGATTAAAAACTCACATTTATCACCAAAATAAAAAAAGGATTAAAAACTCACATTTTTTTTAATCACGTGTTACTTTTGTTTACCAGGGGAAAAATGCGCAAGAGATATTTGATTCATACTTGAACACGTGTCCAAATCAAGGAAGTAGAACAATTCGGACAGAGGTGCACTATTGTTGATCTCACTTATCAATTTCCCATGGCATGAAGAATTGTCTATCAGCATGTGTTAACAATAATGATCTTTTGGTAAACAGGAAGCTATCTTTATATCACTTCAGTATTTCCAAGAACCAATCAACCGAGCTTTGCAGAGATTTGAACATCAAAATTAGTCAGCTTGAAGTCATCAAAGAACAACATCATCAAGAAGTTCACAACTTTGCACCAAATATTGGTCAATTTTCAACAGCTTATGATTCTGCAGAGCCTGAAGTTAGTTGCTGACACTAAAAAGAGATGGTCAATCGCTATGCAGGTGGAGATTCTCCTCGGTTAGGCATTTAGTTGGTTGGTGGACTTCTTGTTGGAATTGAACCTTCGCCTAACCGATTTTGTAATAGATGTTTTAGGTTTTCAAATAACAGATGGTGATTAGTGTGAGCTTAAAGGTGAGCAGATTTTGTAATGGATGTTTTGTTTCACAAAAAAATTTTCAGTTAAAGGTTCCAATTTTATTCAAGGCTTTGTTTTGTGTTTAAAGTTGAAGTTACCAAAAAAAATTAATGTCATTGATCGGTATGATATCATAATTTTTTTTTTTAATCACTGAAACGACAAAGATTGTTTGATTATCTGCATACAACTTCCAAGTATGCCTACTGTACTCTTGGGAAAATATTAATTTAATTTAAACTTACCTTTTTTTATGAGATTTTTATTAAGCTCTATTAATACAATGCTGAAAGGATTGTTTCATGTATTAATACAATTTAATTAAAATTTCATGAGAAAAAAGTAAAATTTATTGGAATTTTTTTTTCTAAATTCTTAGCAAAAACTACACAAGAATAAGAACCCCCCCCCCCCCCCCCCAAAAAAAAAAAAAAAAAAAAAGGTTTAAGAGGAAAGAAGCACTAATCACCACAGGAAAAAAAATATAATGAATTATTATAAATTAAAATAAAATAAAAATCGGTAATAAAAAAAAGATACTAACAATTTATTTGTTTCTTTTTTTGAAAAGTCTCTAAAAAATTATTTTTCATTGTTTGGTTACAATCCAAAAATTGATGCGTTAGTGATGGTAATGATAATGGTAGTGGTGGCATGAGTGACAAATATGATAGTATTAGGACATTTCCAACATTTACTATTTTTTTTCCATTAAATTTGAGTAAAGATTTTGGTTAAAAATTTTATATTATACCAAGCATTCTAACGCTAAATTTTCAATTTTCATCAAATAACCGTTTGACCGGGAGGACGACCGAAAGGATGTTCAGGGGATCGACCAGCTTAGTGTAAATTTTCTTCAAATTTTTTTCAATCCAATTGTCCACCCGATTGACAGGCCGGTCATCCATTTGGTCGTCCACCAACGATCATCTGCGAGATTTGATGAAAAATTAAACGCTCTTTTTATTTGATGAAAAAAGTATGGCTCCCTTCATTTGATATCAATTTGGTGAAATGGTTGGAACATCATTTTCATCAAATTTTTTTAAAATTTAAATTTAATGAAAGATTTGAGTCTGGGTTAACAATGGTCTTAGTAATATTCTAATTTAAAAATTATCTTTTTCTTTATAGAAAATAAAACATTTTTTATTCAAAAATAAAACGTTGATTTTGATTTTTTTATTCATACTACTATCATAAAATGTAAATAAAAAAATAAAACATTTTTCATGAAAACAATGGAAAATAGGCCTATTTTGGAAAGTCACAATTTTAGCTAAAAAGTCAAAAAATCACCATATATATATTCTCACTAATTTTTTTTTTTTTTACATATTCTTTTGATAAAAAGTTAAAAAATTACTAAAAAAATCAATTCCCAAAATATTGAATGGCATTTCATTATCAATTTTTTTTATGGTTTCTGTTGGGCACTTGACAATGTGCATTTAATATTGTATTAATTTGTATTGAATTTAATAAGTTTCTAATTTTAACTTATTAATGTGTATCTAATGTTGTACTAAAATTATATTAAATTTAGTAACTTTCTATTTTTAACCTATTAATTAAATTAAATACATTTAATAACTTTCTATTTTTAAATATTATTTAAAATTAAACAAATTTCAAAACACATCAAATAAAATAAAATATTATTAATTATTCCATATCTTTGCACCCAGGGGCAATGGTTAGCGTTATGATTTTTTATTACTTAAAATAATAATATAACAATATATAGTGCACACAAGGCAATAAAGATGGCTGGAAGGGGTAATTTAAACAATTTAAGATAAAAGGAGGTGCATACTGTCATTAGAAACATAAAAAGGGCCTCTTATGCAATTGGCGATAATTCATTCATTCTACTTGGGCTTGATAATCACCAAGGATCCTCTAGAGTGAAATTTTTCTAAAGTTTCCTAGAGTGTTATATTATGTGGTTGAGATTTACTGATAAGTCACATCAGAAAAATTGATGTGACTTGTCAGTAAATCTCAACCATACAATGTAGCACTTTAGGAAACTTTAGGGAAAAATCACTCTAGAGGATCCTTACTCCTTGATAATACTGAATAGAGAGAGAGAGAGAAAGAGAGAGCACAGAACAGAACACATAGATATAGCTTAGGTGTATCCCTATAAGTATATATTTTTTATTTTTTAACAATCTAGGAAGGTGTTATTTTAATTTTAGATTATTTTGATAAGTTAAAATTTTTATATTTAAAAAGGTAATTAATTTTTTTTAATTGAATATGATATTTGTAAAAAATAAATAAAATAATTATGAAATTAATATGATATTTTATCTTATTAATTATTTTATCTATTTTTTTATTTTTATTTTTTTGTGAATTTTAATTTAAAAAAAGAAAAAAAAAATAAACAAAAGACGATTAAAATCGACTTGCCAAACACTCCTCTGAATGAAATACTGGAGTAGTATAATAATAAGTGTCGTTGTCTTCGTTTTGTTCGTTTCCCGCCATGGTGGCTCAGGTGGAGGAGAGTCCACCAGGAGGCTCTGTCGGTGGTGGTGGTGGTGGTGGTGACCTCGACACCGACCACTTGGACAACACCAAGACCTTGATTTGTGCTCTCAACTTCCTCTCTCGCAACCTCCCTCTTCCCCCAGACCTTTTCGATGCCGTCTCCTCCATCTATCTCGGCGGATCTGATGTCAACTCCGTTGAGATGGTTTCGGTTCGATACTCAAATCTTTCACTTTTTACCTTTAATTTCATCGTCTTTGTCGATTTAATTCGCCAGTTTAGGGTTCTGAATTTCAGGTTTTTGCGTGTGCGTCATTGTGTTTGAATTATTTTTTTTATGGGTTTTTGATTGTATTACTTAATTCTTTGGAAATTCGAATTATTCTGAGCAAACAGAGGGAAATTTACAAGTGAAAAGGTCGTTTTGTTTTGCTTTTGCCTTGAAGTTGATTCAGAACACTTGCAATAATGTCAAGCTTCGGAAGTTTCTGAATTTGGGTTTTGGTTTGTTCCCCGCATGTGGGTCTTTGTGTTTGAACCAATTTTTGATGGTTGTTTGTTTGTATTACTTAATTCTGTAGTAATTCGAATCATTCTTAGCAAGCAAAGAGAGATTTACAAGTACAAAGATAGTTTTGTTTTGTTTTGTTTTGTTTTGTTTTTCCCTTGGAGTTGATTGAGAAGACTTGCAATTATGAGAAGCTCTTGGTGTTTTTTAGCATCATTAGTTTACTGTAATTTAATTTCATATACCCAGAGATAATAACAAGTCGTTTTCACTTGCAACAAACAAATGGAGCCTTGGCTTGTCCTTTCTTGGTGTTTTTTTAACTGTTAGGTGTGCAAAAATTAATGGGTTTATATTATTTTGGCAAAAATTTTCCTTTTTTCCCCACCCCCTACCTGGTTACATTGAGCTTACTAACAGCTGAACTCCAGGAAGAGAAATGTTAGTGCCTGTTGTTTGGTTTGTTTTTCACTTTCTTCATTACATTGAGTTGGTAAGTTAGTGAAAGAAAGGCGGATGTTTGTATTGAAAACGACAACCCAATCCTAACACGTGGCGCCGGTGATGAAGTGATGTGTGAGACTATCTGGTGCCATGTAGCTGCTTTGGGAACTTGTCTTATTTTATTCGGATTAGGATAATGATGACAATAGTCGTCATGGTAACCGTCAAATTAAAAATCCCTAATTAATAAGGGTTTATATTTCCATAAATGTTCATCCAAGAAATGGCAAGGCAAAGATCTTGGGCAGTGGCCTGGAGTAAGGGCCACGTCTCACCCCTTCATTCAAAGTTAAGACCCACTACTATTTGATCCAATGGTCAAGAGGAAATAGAAAATGGTCAGCCCTATTTCTTAAGGAATACATGAGATATTTGGGCAACAAAGCTGTTGAGGGACACATGACATCTCAGGACGAGTTCGAGCAAACCACTAACTACAAGTGGTTGAGAAATAGCAGAAGGTGGCTCCGATGGCTAGAAGGTTTCGCTGCTATGTAAAGACAAATTCGCGAGGGGAAAAACTCCAACCAATCATCCAATCAACTCAGCATAACTTAGCCAAAAAAAAACTTGAACTTGAGGAGACTGTTTATATGTGTGGCGATCATGAAGAATCCATTGCAAAGTTTACTGAACAGAATGACTGAAAGGTACATATAAGTGTTTAATAAGCATATAGAAAAGATAAAAAATATGAAAGTGATAGAAAAGAAAAGCCCCCATGTTTTGGAAAGGGAAATATCAATGATTATGCATTAGCAGTAATCAACAAGTCATATATTGTTTTATAAATGCTGGAATCAAATTTCTCTTGATGTTTGGATAATGTGACTCAATTGTACAGTTGAGCATCTTATAAGACCTGTCAACAATGTAAAGTTTCATGTAGGATCATGTTTTTGCAATTTTATTTTATTCAAGATCTCGAACACGCAATATTCCCTTAACTTGTATGGCACATTAACACACTCGAGATATGATACTAGAGAGAAGGAAACATTAGTCATATAATGGTTCCAACATCAAGCTACCATATCAATTGGCTTTATTAACAGTCGCTTGAGCCATGAATAGCAACTACATTAGAAACAATAAAACAACACATCCACCCGTAACGTACCAATGAGTTGGCAAATAGACTAGAGCAAGTAATTGTATGTGGTTTGTAATGCTTACGGAATGGAGAATATAGAATATGCTTTCACTATATGTTGGTGTAGTTGTTTGTTGGCTTTGGAATGTGAGTAGATAAAGCAGGCCAAATTCTATAATTTTTACTCTTGCATTAGGATAATGTTTGGTATGTTGAGTTAATTTTGCATTAAATGTGTTGTTTTATAATATTTTTTTGGTTGCCTCTGACTCAACTTTTGTAATTTGGGTTTAATGTTTGCGATACAGGATGATCTTGGTATTTCAAAAGAAGGAGATTTGTTGGTGGACCTTGAGGATGCACTAGTGAAGCAAAGACCAAATTGCATGTCAGGTTTTGGATTGACAGAATCAAGGGATAATCGTTTAAACAGCCATATACAACATCGTTTGTCTGAACTTGAAGGTTACTATTTTTCTTTTTCTTTTTCTTTTTTTGTAAAGATCATTTTTCTTGTATAAATTTTCTGCAAATATACAAACATCATGGTCTGTTTTGTCTTTACTTATGTGCATCAACTTCTGTGTATTATCTGTCTATAACTTTATCCATGAATTTAATCGTAGTGATGTACTCAGCATCTTGTTAGAGATATTGAGTCTTCAAAGAAAGGGCCTTCATATGTTGTGCTCCCAATATAATTGAATATTATCTCCGTCCATGTATTAAGTTTTCCAATTTTGTAGTGATGTTGCCATAAAGATGTCAAAATATGGTCAACAACATTGTTATTAATCAATTAAATTGGTCACCATGAACTCATTGACAGTGCATTTTGGCTGGACAAATGCTATATAAAGGTTCTAATACCATTAATAAATAATTAAAAAAAAAAGAAAGAAGAAAGAGGAGTCAGCCATGCGTTCACATTTATGGTTCTTTTCTTTTGCTGGTGTGACAACAGACAACTTGTCGTAGAGATGTACTTGAGGTCTGCTCTACAAAATTTGATTAGGGCATTAACTTGGCAGGTGTTGATTTGGAATACTGGCCCACTTCTGGCCTTATTTTCATGTCCTTTTCACCTTCAACACCATTTCTTGAGCTATATCTGCAATTTACTTATTAGAAAACTAATTGACTAGTAAATATTACATTATTGCATATGATCTCTACGAGAGTTTAATTTATCATTTGTATAATTCTTTAAGACTTTGCTTCTGTTCATTTTAAACCAGAATTGCCTTCAAGCAGAGGCGAGGACCTGCAGTCAAAGTGCTTGCTTGAACTCTATGGACTGAAGGTAGATTTGATTTTATAATCACTTCAATAAATCTTGTTTATTGCTTACTTGCATGTGAGGTTCATATTAATAAAATGCAAAGGCCGTCAGCAATTATTTGTGCAAATGGAAGATAGATAGTTCCATTTTAGTTGAAATGATACTTGCCACAAATCCTGTTTAGCTTCGAATGAAAAATCAGTGTTCAGAAATAGAATATGCTTCTAATAATACCCTTCCTAACAAAGATGACAATCTGCTTTCTCTATTTTCAAAATTAATTTTTCAGGACTACTTTAAAATATGCAAATGAGAGAATATTGGATATATCCTAAACAATGAGTTTGTCATATTCAGTAGAAGTAACTCCCCCAATGGGTATACGCAATAATTCCCTTTCATGTGGTTAAATTTGAAAACTCCATTCCATGTGTATATTGCGTGCATTGATGAAGCATATACTATGCTATGAAGAGATGACTTTGCTCATGTCCTTATTGGTGTGTTGTGTTTCGTCAGCTTGCAGAGTTGCAGAGCAAGGTTCGGTCTTATGTGAGTTCAGAGTACTGGCTTCGTATGCATTGTGCGTATCCAGAAAAGCAATTGTTTGATTGGGGCATGATGCGATTGCGTCGTCCTATGTATGGCCTTGGAGATGCTTTTGCCATGGAAGCTGATGATAACTTGAAGAAGAAACGGGATACTGAGGTTATTATTTTGTGTTATTTGTTACTTATCTTCAGAATTTATCAGTCAGAAGAGGAATCTAGAGATTATGGACCTTATAGCTAGGATGCTAGAGAGTATGCTCCACCTCTTTAACAGTATTAGATGGCACTCTTTATTTGATGGATTTAAAGTACGGTTTTAAAACTTTGATCTCCAATAATTTTATTCAATCTAATAACCGCAATATGTTTGCAATTACTGAGAGAAAAAGATAGTCACAAACTCACATTAGTTCTAGTAGTTGGCTTTTGCCTTGATGATGTTGTAGAAAGGGCTATTGATCAGCAAGCCCGACTTTTGGGAATATGACTCCCAGTAATCAGATAATGGATCATCATGGCCAAGAACTTTTGTATTATTTTTTGCAAACATTTATTAATTTCCAATGCACTGCTGATGTAGTGAAACACCACTGTTGCAGAGGCTGTCAAGGATAGAGGAAGAGGAAAAGAACCTCGTGGAAACTAGAAAAAGGAAATTCTTTGCAGAATTACTTAATGCAGCCCGTGAACTCCAATTGCAAGTACAAGCCTCTCAGAAACGCCGGAAACAAAGGAATGATGGTGTTCAGGCATGCTTTTCTTTCCATCTTTCTTTCTTTTTTCTAAATATTTTTTTCTGTTTTTTTTTTTTTTTTTTTTTTATAATAAACCTCATGCATAGTTACTACAAGCAATTTTGAAAATTGAAGATAACATGGGAGATCACTTGGCCAAAGTTTGTCCTTAACTGGGAAAGGCATATCTTGTAGATCTGTTTCTACATGGGACTAAGTTTACTGCTAACTGTTTTCTTGTGCTTTCCAAGAATAAATTTCATATTCCCCATATCTTGTAAATCTGTTTCTACTGGAATATAAATAAAATTACTCCAGAGTAGTTGCAGATATGTCTTCTATTTTTTCATACAAGTTACAGAACGACTAATGTATGAGGCTATCAAAAGAAAGTACCTTTTGATATCACTTAATAGTTTGGAAAAATGCCAAATTATTCTAAAGAATCCCTTGATCTGAATTTAGTGGACTTTCAAAGTTTCTGTTTTTTGGTAGTTATCTTGTGCAAGAATCTTTTTGTGCACATCCTTTGGCTAATTTTCAGTAATTTTAGAGATTTGTGTTTGTTTCTAGTTGGTTGAATGAAAATTTTTATCTATCAGAAATTTATTTGCTGTGCCAGTGCACTCACATGTATGGTAGGGGAGAATGTAAAGCAGTTTTTCGTATAGCTTATGCTGCTAGGACCTACTTCAATCTTTTACATTATTATACAGGCATGGCATGGAAGACAAAGGCAGCGTGCTACACGAGCAGAGAAATTGAGGTTCCAAGCTCTGAAAGCTGATGATCAGGAAGCTTACATGAGAATGGTGGAGGAGAGCAAGAATGAACGGTTAACAATGCTTCTTGGAAAAACTAATGAGCTCCTAGTTCGTTTGGGAGCAGCTGTCCAACGTCAAAAAGATGCTGAACATGATGGCATTGAACCCTTGAAAGAGTCAGATGCTTACTTGACTGAGTTGTCTGCCTCCAAGAGTGAAACCCCTGGGGATTCAATCCCTGAGGAAGATGCTAACAGAGTCAGTATTGAATCCAGTCATCGCGTTAAAACAGGAGACCTACTTGAAGGCCAGCGGCAATATAATTCAGTTATTCATTCAATTCAGGAAAAGGTAAACAATGAAGTCTTAATCACCGACCTCGCATTATTTTTTTTAATGCTATTGCATTTTCTTATGCATTTGAACTCATAGTTACTTATAATAAATATTTTGAATGTTTTATTTTACTGTACTGAATGGGTGACTGAAGAAAGAAGTTTAACTGTAAATTGAAAAACAGTCTGGGAATAGAAATTTGTTCATCTTGCTAGGTTTCCCATAATATATATTGGCCTAATAGGCTGATCATTCGAATTGGTTGAACAAATTTCTGATTTCTTGACCATGCAAATTTGTTTCAGATTTTTAATGCTGGCCTAGTTGTCTAATTTCCTCCATAAAGTAATATTCTGTCTGAATTTGTTGGTGGGTCTAATGAGTTCATTGCCACATCTTAATTTCTTAAAGCATAAGAGGCCAATTTTTGGCCAAAAACTTCGCAGTTTCACTTAAGCATTCCTTCATTTGATGTTTTAATAACAACACTCACATGTATGCAATTTATTGCTTCTGAAAATATTTAGCTTGTGTAGAATCTAATCAGATATTGAATTCCACAGGTAACTGAGCAACCATCCATGCTTCAGGGTGGAGAACTAAGGTCCTACCAGTTAGAAGGGCTTCAATGGATGCTGTCTTTGTTCAATAACAATCTTAATGGAATTTTAGCGGATGAGATGGGGTTAGGCAAGACAATCCAAACCATTTCGTTGATTGCATATCTCATGGAAAACAAAGGCGTCACTGGGCCCCACTTGATTGTGGCCCCAAAGGCTGTACTACCAAATTGGGTCAATGAGTTCTCAGCCTGGGCTCCTAGGTATGTGAAAAAGTTTATTTGATAACCATCCCTCTTTCTGCCTGTGCACGTTGCATGTATGTTTGTTAGTCTATAGCAATAATTGTTCATTTTTAAATAATGTGCGGATTTTCTTCTTGTACCAGTATTGTGGCCATTCTTTACGACGGCCGTCTAGATGAAAGAAAGGCACTGCGGGAAGAGTATTCAGGAGAGGGGAAATTCAACGTGTTGATCACCCACTATGATCTTATTATGAGAGACAAAGCATTTTTGAAGAAAATTCACTGGTACTACATGATTGTTGACGAAGGACATAGGTTAAAAAATCATGAATGTGCTCTTGCAAGGACTCTTGTTACAGGGTATGCTGCAATCCTTGCTTCTACATATTTTGATGGCCTACTTTGTTTGAAGAACCGTTCACTCTATATGATGAGTTTAATATTTGTTCTCCCAGTTTTAATGAATCTCCCACATAATTAAACTTAGTCTATTCCCCTCCCAGTTTTTGCTCGAGTCCCTTGCCTGCTCATAAACTCTAGGTAACCAATGTTATTATTCTTGTGACTTGCCAAGTCATTTTATTCCCCAGAGAACTGATATTTCTGCTTTAACCAATTTTCTTGGCTGAAACCATATTGGTCAGAGCAAATACCTAGGTTGCTTATGTCCATCAATAATGCAATGATTGATGGATGCCCCCCCAAAAAAGAAAATTTAATGCAATGATTGAATGATGCCCCAAGGGACAGGTGGTGAGGGCTTAACTGGGTATCGTCAAATTGTGAGTAAAGCCAGTATCACTTGTATGGAATAAGCTAGGATTTGAAAATTATATAGATATATGTTCTGACCTTTTGTATAGCCTTTTATTGGAGTTCAATGGGAAATTTTCTCTCCAACCTAAAATGAAAAAAAGGAAAGACAGGAATTTCCTGGTCTTTTAATGCACTCTGTGTTATGCTTTTATCAAATTTAGGTAAACTAGTTCTGTGTTCTGAAAATTTACTATTTTGTTTCCTCTCTCTTGTATTAATCAGTTGTCTTTTGGGGCTTGCATATTCTTAAAGATTAATTTCCTCCATCTTTCCTTGCTATGATGGGTATGGTTTTAATTGGAAATTAAGAGGTGCTGTCTAATGGAATTCATAATGTATGCAGTTACCGGATTCGACGTAGACTACTATTAACTGGTACCCCTATACAGAACAGTTTACAGGAGTTATGGTCCCTGCTCAATTTTCTTCTTCCAAACATTTTTAATTCGGTTGAGAATTTCGAGGAGTGGTTTAATGCACCCTTTGCAGATCGATGTGATGTTTCTTTGACAGATGAAGAAGAACTATTGATCATTCGCCGTCTGCACCATGTAGGTGATGCCTTTTATTGCCTTTTCTCATTCTTCTGAACTGCCTATTGTTGATGCATTTTTGTATTCTCAGGTTATAAGGCCATTCATATTGAGGAGGAAGAAGGATGAGGTGGAAAAGTTCCTTCCTGGGAAAACACAGGTGATGCTGAAATGTGACATGTCAGCATGGCAGAAAGTATATTATCAGCAAGTCACAGATGTGGGGAGGGTTGGACTGGATACTGGTAAGTTGTTTCAGTACCTAAATTACATGTCATGTCTATTTGTTCCTCTCCTAAAGGGTCATAGTAAAACTTGCTCATTTGTAGTTGATCATGTAAACTTGCATTATGCGCCTTCAGTCAAGTTGTGGGCTTAGTCTTGAACTTTCTCTGAATGTAGTTTCCACTGTTATTTGTGTGTATTTGTGCACGCATGTTCATGTAAGAGAAACTGACAACTACCTATTGTATTCCAACTATCACCTGTTAGCGTACCTGAAAACTATCATATTTAGAGAATGTAGCATATAACGTTCTCATTCCTTTCTGCATACTGGAATGAATCATGTCCTGGTGACTTTTATTTGTTGTAAGCTACATTTGTTTTGTTTTCCACTGTTATATTGATTCTAGAGATGGCATAAAATTCATCGTATGAACTCATCAAATTTTTATCTTTGATAAGATTTTACTATTTGAAAATGTTGTTAACCTTGTTACAAACTTTGGTACTCATATTTTTTACTCAGAGCCAAAAAGTTACTAAAAAAATTAAAAAGTCTATAACCTATACCAAAAAGTCAAAGATTCATTTTTCTCTCTACTTTTTGCACATATTTTCATAAAAAATCAAAATGTCATTTCAAACATATAAGTGTTTTTTTACCTTATATTTTAACCAAAAAGTCAAAAAGTTACTAAAATAGTTTGTTTCCAAACGAGGCCTAGTGTATCTGGAACCATTTGTTGTATGTTTGTTTGTTTGTTTGTTTTTTTTTTTTTTTGCACAATGATTGTGGACTATTATTTTAAGTTTAATTCTGATTCTCTCGCAAAGTCAAAGTTCTAATATAGCCACTGTTTTGTTAGATATTATTTTTTACGGTTAATTACATCAAGGCCCCCTCAACTATTAGTAAATATTATCTTATCCTCTCATCTATGAACCTGTAGATTTTAACCCAACTATAAAAATCATACAAATAGTTCCTTCTAGAGGGGTGAAAGTGATGCGTTTTTATAGTCGAGGGAGTCAAAATATACGGGTTCATACATGGAGATTATCTGATATTCGTTAATAGTTGAGGGAATTTTGGTGTAATTAACCATTACTTTAATAGCATTTTTTAGGTTATAACTTATAAGTTTTTATTGTTTCTTTGACAGCTGTGAAAAATTTCATGCAAAATTCGCCGAACCCTAAGCTTTTCTTCCTTCCGCAATTCTTTAACATTTGAAATAACATTGAGTAGCTTGAACTTCTCATATTTGCTTTTGTTGTCTATTCACTGCACATCTTTTGTGTTGCTGTTGATATCATTGTAATTGTAATCTCTTCTACCTTCTTTATCCAACTTTCATGTCATGTAATTTGATGAACCAATATTTCTTATTTTTGTTGCATGCTGTGATTGTGCTCATGCTGATGAACTTTCTTTTCAGTTGAGTAATAAATAATTTGCTGAAAGACGAAAAAGTTGCAATCACTTAACTAATATGACTGATTGGCAGGATCTGGAAAGTCCAAGAGTTTACAAAACTTGTCAATGCAGCTCAGAAAGTGTTGTAATCACCCATACCTGTTTGTAAATGAATATAACGTGTGGCGCAGGGAGGAAATTGTTAGAGCATCAGGGAAATTTGAGCTACTTGATCGTTTGCTCCCCAAACTTCGCAGATCAGGACATAGAGTCCTCCTTTTCTCACAAATGACCCGTCTCATGGATATTCTTGAAATTTATTTACAGCTTCATGATTTTAAATATCTCAGACTTGATGGTTCAACAAAAACTGAAGAAAGAGGAACTTTACTAAAGCGATTCAATGCCCCAGATTCTCCTTTCTTCATGTTTCTTCTGAGCACTCGTGCTGGGGGTCTTGGACTGAACTTACAAACCGCAGATACAGTGATAATTTTTGACAGTGATTGGAACCCCCAAATGGACCAACAGGCAGAGGATCGAGCTCATCGTATTGGGCAAAAGAAGGAAGTGAGGGTTTTTGTGTTGGTTAGTGTCGGATCGATTGAAGAGGTGATCTTGGAGCGTGCAAAACAGAAGATGGGCATTGATGCTAAGGTCATCCAGGCAGGACTATTCAATACAACCTCCACAGGTTTGTCCTTATAAGTGAAATTCTTGTTGCAATGGTTTTAAAATGTTTATTTCATGATTGATTTTGATCCGACTCCAGTGTTTCCTTACAAGTGAAAATTTTGTTGCAATGATTTTGAAATGTTTAAATCGTGGTTGATTACAATCCGACTCCAACTAATTGGAACAAAGGCTTAGTTGAATTGAGTTGTATTTCATGGTTGATTCCTGATCTTGTGAATGTCCTGCCTGAGTCGTTGGTGGCTATTTGCCTGAATTAAGGCCTCATTGCTTCCATTCGACATGACTGCTTTGTTTTGTTTTTTTTTTGTTTTTGATCAAATGAAGAGAATTGAGGTATTTCAACTTTGTTTATGCAGCTAAGGACAGAAGAGAGATGTTGGAGGAGATAATGCGGAGAGGTACGAGCTCGCTCGGGACAGATGTACCAAGTGAGAGAGAAATCAACCGTCTTGCAGCGCGTTCAGATGAGGAGTTCTGGATGTTTGAGAAAATGGACGAGGAGAGAAGGCAGAAAGAGAGATACAAATCTCGTCTCATGGAAGACCATGAGGTGCCTGATTGGGCATATACTACACCGGATAATAAAGAAGCCAAGGCTAAAGGATTTGAATATGACAGCAAGAACATCACAGGAAAGCGAAGAAGAAAAGATGTGGTGTATGTGGACACACTTAGTGATTTACAGTGGATGAAAGCAGTGGAAAGTGGAGAAGACATAACAAAGCATTCTGCTCGAGGAAAGAGGAGGGACAATCTTCCTGCTGCGGGAAATGAAGTTATGAGTAATACTGGAGCGGAAGAGAAGAAAATATTGGAAGTGAAGAGTGAAAAAATGTATGTCGTGAGCGAGGCAACAAGTGAAGACAAGGTGAGTCTGAACGAGGTAGAACATGTGCAGAATACAGAACATCAGGGTGTTGGGGACGGTGGTTGGGACATGTTGACCTGGAAGCTTCACAAAAGAAAGAGATCAAGCTTGGTGTCCTGAGTTGGTAAGAGGTTAAAATTCTAACAGCAGAGAGGAAGTAGATAGATTGGATTGAAATGGCTTGGTGTTGGCGAAAACACCATATAGCATTTGAAGGGATTTGAGCCTTCATGTTGTAACTTTAGTAGGTCATAGTTTGCGTGGCTCGTTGTTGTCGCGCAGTCGCTTGCTCGGTGGCACACCAAACACTTTTAAGTGACATTTTGAGTGGTGTGTGTCTATTGCTCTCTCCATTTCCATTTATGCTGGTAGACTATTAAGTTGTTTATATGAATATTAGCAAACCAGTGCCATGTAAATTATCCAATTTATAAGATGGAGCTCTGTATCTTTCTTCTCCCATTCATGAATCGGTGCTAGCTTAAAATTAATGGATACACCATATTCTTGTTGATGATGAGGAAACAGAATACATGAAATTATGAATAAATCTATACGTACCAATTGATATACCAATTAATATATTAATAGATGATGTAACATAATTTTAAAGATTTTAAGTCTTTATAATTTGTATAATAATTAGGTTTATAATTTTAAAGTGATAACGTCATAACATATGTTAATATACTAATTGATATATGTAGCATCACTGTAAAATTATTAGTAAGTTACAATTATTGAGTAAAATAAGTGATGATATTATAACATATATTGATGTACTAATTTGATGTATGTAGCACCACTATAAAATTATTAGTTAGTTACAGTTATTGAGTAAAATAAAGGGTCATCAATGAATAGTTTAACTCAACACCCTCAATTTATTGTTGATCCCACCAACTTTGAACCACTGGGTTTTTTTTTTTTTTTTGTCAAACCAACCACTGGGTCACTAACAAAAACCACCACTAAGGAAAGTCAGCATTTCTAACATCATAGAACCATTAAATTGTTGGCTGAGGGCCATGTTTTAAGGACACATTTAAGGAGTGATCTTTTCAAATTGCTATTTTCATAATTCAACCAGGCAACTTTGAAATGCTAAAATAAAACATGAGAGAGAGAGTGAGAGAGAGAGAGAACAAAATCATCAATTAAAAGTTCCACACCGTCAAGACAACCTCAAAAGATGGTGTCTCAAGTAAGAATCTTAGATTAGATCTTACATTAAATAATTCTTAAAAGCAATCTAAGAAGCAAATTAAAATGGCGCCATCAAACCTAACCTACTTTTGAAAATTCCGTGCTTGGGTGCTCCCAGAGTTACTGTAACTGACCCTGCTCATGCATATCAAGAATGAACAAAGTAGTCAACCCAAAATGAAAAGGGGGGGGGGGGGGGGGGGGAAAACCTGACATGAGAAAACCTCTACTCTTAGTTGACATCAAGTTTTTTCAGTTTTGATTCCAATTCACCATTGTTGCCTTCACCCTCATCTCCAGATTCCTTCTCCTCCTCATAATCATTTTCTCCGTCAGGGTCGTTCTCATCCAAGGACCCAAGCAAATCAGGAAAAGTCTTAAATAAACCCTTCAACTCATCAATGCCTTCTTCAGAGACGAAATTCCCATTGATGTTCAGCAACTTAAACTTAGGCTTTCGCATCACAGTCTGAGCCAATAGCCTAGCCCCAGCCCTCCTTATCGAGTTGCTGCTCATGTCAACTTCCTTCAATTGGTCATGGCCTTCTTCCAAAGCCTTGCCGATTTGAATAGCACCTTCATCCTTAAGTTCATTCTCTGCCAAATTCAGCTTGATGAGAGACTGCTTTGCTGCTATACATGAAGCTAAACTAGGAGCAGTTTCAACTGTTATATCATTTCCAGCCATCTCCAAGACCACGAGCGACGGAGCTGACTCCTTTAAAGCATTGGCTACAGCAGTTGCCCCTTCATCTTCCAAATTCAGGTAGCTCAGATAAACCTCAGTAAGATTTGCGTGTTTAGAAAGAGTTCTACTCAAAGCGAGTCCAGCTTCTACACCAAACATGTTGTCACGCAGATCAAGATTTTTCAAATGGGTACATGTACTGAGTGCTTCACACAAAGCAATTCCTCCTCCTGAATCTACCCTTGTAGAGGAGCATCGGAAATCCTCCAACAAGGGAGAGCACTTTACGACCTCAGAAATAGCGACAGCCCCTTCATCTCCTGTCATGTTATTATGAAATTGGAGAACCCTAAGCTTCTCCGTGGAAGGAATTAACTCACAAACAGCTCGTGCAGCTTCCTCTGAGATACCATCATTCATTAAATAGAGTTCCTCCAATCTACTCTGTGATTTCAGGAGTTTCTCAAATGCCCTAACACCCTTCTCGCCCAAGGCATTGTTCGAAAGATTCAGAGACTTCAAAACAGAACCTTCGAGGGCTTCTGAGAATATATTCAGGACTTCAAGAGCTTCTGCCTCGGACCTTCCTGCAATAAAATCTGACAGGTCAACTTCCTGCAATTGATTCCTAACAGATTCCAATATCGGCTCTGCAACACGAGCTGCGCCTAAGCCGAAGCTTCTGTTGCTAAAGCATATCCTAGTGTAAGAATTTGCAGGCTCCTTTAATGGCCTTAAAAGTTCCTGAGCCTCCTCTGCTTCAATGAAAGCCCGCTGGCCTTTAGATATATCAAAGCAGGTTTCATGGCCCCCTGTAACTTTCTCGACTATCGCACCCTCTCCGTCCCCCTTGGTTCTAGGGTCCCTTTTAAGAACTTCAAGGATGAGCTTACTGCATTCTCTGGCATACATTTGCACTGCAGAACCTCCATCACCATCAGGCTCCTTTTCGTAGTGTTGATTTGCAGAGGCAAAAGCAGAGTCTTCAATTTCTTTGCCATTCTCCGCAGCCTCTTCCTTATTTAGAATACCATATTTCTGGGTGAAAATGGACTGGCTGGAAAGATTGTTGGTGATTCGTTCCACAAGCATTAGCCGTGTGTTCTGGCTTGGGGGCCACAGTTTAATTGAAAATGGTCGGTGTTGTAAACTTGGAGTTGTGGCATCCATTGCAGCAAAATCTTAAAATGAAAGCTGCATTTAAGTTAATAATTCTCCTATTTTTGACATTAAATTTTGAAAGATACAATAAAAAGTACCAACATGAAAAAAAATATACCAATTCACAGGTTCCAGTTAAACACGAATCTTAATATCATCATCCGTAATTCACTATAAAAGCCCATAATTTCAGCACAGTCAACATCAAAAACCTACCTAAATACATTCTAAAGGGTCTACAAGGGAGGATAAATAACAAGTGATATATTCATCTATGTGATCCCCATACAGTGACAATAAGGCTTTCTGCTAACAAGCAGCACCAGCTAAACACAATTCCTACAACGAAATAAAATTTGATGGCTGACTGCAAATAGCAGTAAATTATACTATACCCATAGCTCAAAAAAGAAATGAAGGTAAGCAGGTTGAAGGAAATTTGAGGTTATGAGAAAGCATAGTTATCGATTTCCTACAAACATCGGGTACAAATGTCGGGTGCATATCTAGAGATCGAACCCATCAAACCTCAATTTTAAAGGGGTACACTGACTCAAAAAAAATGGTCATATTTTTATATTTTTAATCTAATGTATTATATGATATAAAATGGTGTTATATGCAACATAGAGTGTCAAAAAGGCATTTTACTTATTTTATTTTATGTTATTTTATTTTTTTGATAAGTGCATTTTACTTATTTTATAGCAATTATAGAACACTATATACATATAATGACAGTGTTAAATTCAAATATATAAGAATTGTCCAATTGAAAATATCAAATACATATCTCATACCCTTCCAAGTGTCGGGTGACACGAGTATTTGATTTAAGAGTCCATCTAACATAGGTTCAAATGAATGCAAACGGTTTAAAGAATTGTAAGCAAGCAAACAGTGTCAGAAAACATAAGAGTGCTGTAATCTCTGATTTTAGTGAACTATGGCTGGCATTCTATCCATACTTTTCCAAACGTCTCTCCATCTTCCTCCCCAAAATAGCAAACAGGAGAAGGAAAAAAAAACATATTATTTTTTGCTTTATTCCTTTTCTCAATAATTAGCCTTTCAAATGAACTGAAGTACATTAAAATACTCAGTTATTTGTAGGCTAGCCAAACTCAGCCTCACTCTTCAATGTGTCACATCTACTCTGAACTACAATGTGATAGAACTTGCATAAATTAACAAATGCAGGCACATGCATACGCAAAATCGACAGCAGCAAAATCTTGAGTTATGTCTACCTTGTTTATTTTACAAAATAAATAAATATGTAATCCTATCAATCTGATTTTTCCCAAATTATTTTAAAAAATCACATAATCTGAGCCAATATGGTATGACAGAGGCACATACATACAAGACCCAAAAAATAAAAGTACCCAGAATATAGAGAAAATATATATATATATATATATATAATCTATCTCTTCAAAACTTACACAAGATCTAAGACCAAAATTTCATATGTAACTGGGGACAATGAATAACCAAAACAGAAACAGATTTGCTATAAGAAGCACAGAACCATCATAAATACTCAAACTTTCGACATAAAATGTAACAGATCGGTAACAACATATATCTATACATGAGCATGCATACATATATTATGGGGCAGAATATAAGAATCTAACAATGAAGAACAGAACGAACCCTAAAAACCCTATTATAAATGCAATAAACAAAGCATTTCGAAGAAAAGCGAAATGTACCCTTTTCTTTATCCTGGTTCTTTCGTCTGGATGGCCCTTTTCAATGGATAATCACCAAAGGATTCAATGGAGAGAGAGAGAGAGAGAGAGAGAGAAAGAGAGAGATTGGAAGAGTGAGAGAGTGGAGGGAAAGACGAGGAACTCCAAATCTGAACTGAAAATGTGGGAGCGAAACGGTAGGTTTTATACCGTTTTCAGTTTCTAATAGGCTGTTTGGAAATAGAGAAAATTGTGTCTCCAGTTAGTCTAAACTTTGATTGCAAAGCTATCTGTTTGGCATATCCGAGAAAATAATTTTTATACAAATAATGTATTGTAGTCCTTTTATTTCTGAATAAATAAATAAATAACATAACATAACATAACATAACTAAATTCAATAAAAGTAATGTGAAAAGATTAACATTTGAAAAAAATATTAGCATAATTTTAGTTCAAAATATAATTTAAACACATTCTATCATAAAATAATAACAATTACTAAATTTTATTTAATATAAGTTTCAATTAAGCTAATGAATTAAAGTTTTAAAAACATTATTATTGAATTACAATTTTTTTAATTAAAAGTTTGCTAGTACATATAATTAGTTTCATACAATCGTATTGTATAGTAGAAATCGAATTGAAACATGTTAAATAGTTTGAAAATGAATTAGCATTACTGGGTCTTTTAAAATATGATAATTTGACATTGTAGTATGCTAAAATGTTACAAAAAAATAATTGAAATAATACAATCTATTAACCCCCCACCCAAAACAATCTCCTAGCATTGTTTTGGATCACCCTCCCTGCTAATAATAAGAGCAGAAGTTGGTTGTATGGCTGACTGGTGTCCTACCACCTCCTTTTTCCTTTCTCTTGTACCTCACATAAAAAAAAAGGGTTTGGATATTGAATTTATGGAAAAAGATAATGAAATGGAAAACACAAGAAAAGAAAATGAAGTGCAAGATGCTAATCAAGAAAATGAAGTGAAAGATGTTGCAATCTCTTTGCCCTTCTTTTTGCCCCAACAATAGTCCATATGCATAAATGAATGTATTTCAAATCAAGAGATTTCATGTTAATTTTATAGAAACATTGGAGAACTAACCACTAGATGCAGATGAAAAAACTAAAGTTGAATTGAGATATTAGAGATCTAGTTTTCTAGAATTCTTGCGATGTGTTTAGTTGGAGATTTAAGAAGAGATTTGAAAAAGAAAATGAAAAAAATATATAAAACTAAGTAAAATGTAAGTATATGTTATTCACATTTCACTTATATTTTTCCTATCCCTTTCCCTTTCCAAATCCCTTCTAACATCTCTAAACTAAACACAACGTTAGAGATACTAATTTCAAATAACTAACTATTTTATATAGTTAATTCAAATCTACCATAATAAAACTATTTAATTCAATCTTGAAATGCATAAGTGAACTCTTAAATCTAAATATGAGATATTCTCCTTAAATGACTAATGCCAAATCCATGCGTTTCAAATACGTAAATACACATGGAAACAACTTCTATAGACAAAGTGTCATTTTGAGAATATAGTAAAAAGCCACGTTTTTGGACAAAATGTCCAAAAACATGGCTTCCAAAAACGCAACAAAATCCCTTTGGGAAGTGCAAAAAACACAGCCCTAAAATCACAAATTAGGGCCTATGAAAAAATAAATAAATAAATAAATCTCTTATGTTGGATAAGGGTATTTTGGTCATTTTAATTTGATTTAACATCGTAAATAAATATTAAACTAAAAAGTAAAAAGTCAATTTTTTACCAACTTCCTAAATCACTTCCAAAAAAACCAAAAAACTTGATAAAAAGCTAAAAGCCAACTTTTTATCAACTTCCCAAAACAACCCAAAATCAATTATAGAACCCACCATAAAACATACAGATTGAGCAATGTGGGTGGAGCAGCCATTTCAGTGGCAGGCGCCACAGTGCATGTTATGTGCAGGATCAAAGCGCATACTAAAGAATACCACCATCCGTACAAGTACTCCCTCTTTCTAATTTGATGATTCGGACATATTGAAATCCTTGAACAAATTATCCATTTTAAGTTCTTAGGTCATCTCTAACGTTTGTATGAGAAGGTTCAAGAAAGCAGTTGGAAAATTCGAAGATCTTCGAAGACTCTTGAAGAACAACTTCGAATTCTCTAGAAGATTATGAGAGGCTTAGATTCTTCAATAGTCTCAACTCAAGAACACAAGAGTAAAGGAGATGATGGAGATAAGAGATTGGGTGAAGAAGAAGGCAAAATGGCTAGAGGGAGAATAATGGCAAGGCTCTCCTATGGATCTCCCACTTTCACTCTCAAGGTTGATAATGGAGATGGGAAATTAGTTCTTTCCCAAGAGTCATCTCTCCAAAATCCATCCCTTGTAAAGCTATGGGTGGGTGCTATTTATAGGCACCTCATGATGTAGGATGGAGCTCATGTGCAAGGCACATGGGAAATATTCTCTCTAACCACCTTGTCCGAGGAGGTGACCTCTCCGAGGATAAGACCTCTCCGAAGATGAGGAAAACCCCGAAGAGGAGATCAGCCTCTCGGTGAACCCTTCTTCTTAGCCACACCTAGCCAATGATCCCCAATCATCCCAAAGGGTCAGGGGCAGTCCCAGAGGACGTCCTGCCACAAAATATTGTCGCGTCTCATGGACCCCCCAAAGTCGTGCCACCTCGACCCGGGTATAGGCTAGTTTAACTGAAGAGTGAATTTATCTCCACTCACCGTCCTCGAGATCGGGTCCTTTGTTCGAACTCCATTACGCCCATGGTTCTGGTGCGTAGATCCCGGAAATCTCCGAGCCCGCAAGTGTTCTGGAACTCATTAACGGAACGGCTTCTAGATTGCGTTTGAATCCATTTGAAGCCAATTGCTTCGGATCTCTAGATTCGTGGATCCGAATCCTTTCGAGTCTGAGTGCCTCGGATCTCTAGGATAGCTCAATACCCTTTCGAGTCCGGGTCCGAGTAAGTCTCTAAGTTCGTGGATCCGAACCCTTTCGAGGCTTAGAACGATTTAGCCCGTTTGATAGCGATAAATCCGGGCCCACTAATCTTGGGCTATTGAGCCTAATTAATTTAGTGGGCTCAAATTAACTCCTCTTACATTTGCCCCTTGCGTGTACGAGAAATTTTAAATTTCTCGAACACACATATTATCACTCATTCGGCTCTGCTTTGTATCACGTTCCAAAATAAAAAAAAATAAAAAAAATAAAATAATAAGAAAATATGTTTCCTCGACAGAGCCTATAGATAAAGTTGATGACGCACTGTAATTTACGAATAAAATTAACAAGCAAAAAAATTTTTTTTTACTCTTTTTTTTTTTTAGAATATTCTAAGGGCATATTCAATGGATAATGCTCCTCTTCTTTCTATTTAAGGAAATGGCAAAACCCTATTTGGCTCACCAACTTTTGCACAGCCGCCACACCCACTTCTCAGTCACCTCTCTCTCTCTAAAGGCCCAGACTTCATCTTCTTTAACAAGGGTCTGCTACTACAATACCAGAGGCCATTGCCGTTAGAGCTGTAATCGAGCCGAGCCGAGCCGAGTTTCACTATGTTCGAGCTCGGCTCGTTATGGCTCGTTAGCCAAGTGAAACCACCAAAAGCTAGCAGCCACTCCACTTAAATAGAGATCTGTCTGTCTTTGAAATGCATGAGGTAAACAATGTGGGACTCCAAGTTGTTTGAAACATTACTATCAAACGGCGTCGTTTTATCCTTTGCAGCAAAAGTCCTACATCGCTCAAAGGAAGGAGCATGCTAAAGGTTCACTACTTATAAAATCGAGCTGTTGGCAACGGTATTGGCAGCCCAAGTCAAGCCTAGGAACATGCAATGCAATATAATATACATATATATATATATGCGAACATATAAAACATGAGATATTATGTAAACAAAAAAATAAAAAGTTCAAAGTTTTATAACATGTATAATATATATATTATATTATATATAATATAATTAAAATATATTTATTTATTTATTTAAGCTCGTGAGCCTAATCGATTCGAGCATTATTAAGCTCGGGCTCGGCTCGTTTATTATACGAGCTTAAAATTTAAGCTCGAGCTCGTTTATTTAGTAAGTGAACCGAGTTCGAACAAGCCTTAACGAGCCGAGCTCGAGTTTGTTCATGAACAGCTCGGTTCATTTGCAGCCCTAATTGCCGTGCCCTCCTTCAACAAAACAGCTGAAGACCCGCACCTCCTTGCACACCGTCGGCGGCCAAAGCTTCGGCTACCACTGGCGTTGCGGCAGCTTCAGCTACCATCTGCTCATACCGATACGAGCTCCACCTCACCTTGGTTCTTGTCTTCAATGTAACGAGCAGCTCCTCAAAGACCTAAACACACCGGAGCTCCATTCTTACTGAAGTGGCCACCACCCTACGAACCGTCGGCTTCTGCACGAACCCACCATGGTGCTGCCCTGTGCATGACCATTTCAACTCACGCCGCTCGTCTGTCTCACGCGCAGTTCCTACACCGCCGTTGCACCTGTCAACCGTAACCAACTAGTGATGACCACGCCGCCCCCTTAACGCGGCGTGGGTCTGTTCGTGGCCTTTCTCGCATACTGTCGCTGGTTCTCTTCCTTTTTTTTTTTAATTTGTTTTAAAGCTTTGAATCTGCTGGTGCTTGCTTTAATGTCTACTAATGTAGATTTAATCAATCTCTGATGCTTCAGTTTTTTTTTTTTTACTTCGCTGCTTAAAAATCTTTGGGCAAGAATATATATATATATTGATTATCATACATATTTTTGTTTAGAGCTCAGATTACCCAGATTTTTGTTCTGCTTGTACGCGACTACACTGCTGTGGCCCCAGCTTCCGTCGGCCTCTCACTGCTCCAGCTCCGACCAAGCTGCCAGCGGCCTCTCTCTGCTCCACCCTCGGTTACTGTTAGCTTCAACGGTTCCAACGCAGACCACACACGTTGCCCACTCAACGTGACGTGTGTGGGTGCCGACTCCACTACGACATCCCCGTTGTCTTCGTCTTCAACCATCTAGTGCTGACCACGCCGTTGCCCATTCAACGTAACGCGCGTTGTTGCTCACTCTGCTGGCTTCGGATTGTCCAACGCCACTCACACACGCCGCCCTCTCAACGCGTCGTGTGTGGTTCAGCCTAGCACAGTTCAACTTCAGT